CCCATAAATAGCATCATAAGACTCAAACAACAGACTCGGTCTTATGGTGCTATTTATGGGACTGAGTTTGTTGCAGCTCCTCAGACTGAAGAAGTCTTTTGGATAAAATACGAAACATTTCAACAAGAAGAATCCGTCTAGAGGACCTGACTTAACCTTGTTAGATTTTTCTACCTGGATTATTGAGCATGCATCTGGATTTGAAGTTTTTATTTGTGTTGAATATTGACCTCTGTGGGCCTCCGTACCTCTTCAGGATGATGGTTTAACGCTTCGATCATTAATAGTTCCGTAAATGTTTACAAAAATACTTCATGATTTTATTCTGAAAACGTGGACTGTAAACCGGGTCAGTTCCTGTCTGGGACCAGATCAGGTTTTCAAATTAAAGTTTCAACAGGAAGCAGAAATGTTGCTCTGAGAAACATGAACCTTCAAAATAAAAGAGCCGTTTAAAGAGCCTAAAAGTTGCACGTTCCCCGAGTCTCGTTTGTGAGGTTTCATTTCTTTCCTCAAAATTACAATGTTTACTTTGAAATCCCTGAAAGTTTATAAATGTTTGTCCTTCATACAAAATATTCACGTTGAGTTAAAACAAGGCCTTTTGTTCATCTTACATTTAAATGTAACGTGGTTCTTTCATTTGGACAGTTTTTGCTCACATCAAACATTTTTCATCAGACGGAGGAACAAACAAAGGTCAACTTCAATCTTTGAAGGCAGCATTAGAAACTGTAAAAAGGTACTTTATCATCATCAGAACTGGGCCTGGTCCACAAGGACAATCACATTCATTTATACAATCACTTCCTGTGCAGACAGGAAGTGAGACAGCTGTGTGTTAATGTCTCCTCAGAGGACAGTTTAAGATCTGGTCTTGGATCAGCCACCTGGTGCTCCACAGAACCGGAAGACTTCCAGACTGAAACTATTTTTTTTCTGTCAGGACAGAGACACCCCTTCAAAATAAAAGCTGATTATTTTTTTCCATCATGCTTTTATTTGACATTTATATATATAAAAAAAGACTTGACAAAGAAACACAACAAACTTTAACTTCTGTCCTCGAACTGAGACTTGTTCTTCAGCAGGAACGCTGCCAGGTACTCGATGGGGTTCGGAGGCCTGGGAGGGTGGAGGGGGGTATTTTACTGAATGTTTCCAAACAATACACTAAAAGTTTTACATGGGACGGAACACTTGTACCTGGTTCTGTCCAAAGTCTGAGAACCCACCTCTCCTTGGCGAGCACCGACAGGCCCTGCAGTAGGATCGGTACCACGGTCTGGTCCAGGTAGGCCCGGGTCGGCAGCGCCTGCAGGTCTACCTTCTGCTTGGTCAACTTCTCTGAGCTCGTCTTCTCATTGTCCACCGTCCTCTGAGGATCAAAGCATGCTGGGAGTCAGGCTCCGCCCACAGCCAGCTGCAATGTGTGTGTGGGTTACCTGGATGTTCTCTGTCAGGCCGAAGTCTGCGTGAGGGTTTTCAGAGACCTGTAGGAGGATTCAGGTTCACTGAGGTTCTGCTCGCCTGACTCAGTAGATTCTGTGTATGTGTGTGTGTTACTCACAGGTGTGTGTCCCTCCATGGACTGATCTGCGTCTGTGTGATCTGCAACACAGATTCAGGTTTTACTCAAGTCCGGTGGGCGTCAGAGCAAACCTGGACCAGACCCTGTAAACTCTTTACAGCTGAGCAGTCACGGGCCTAAAATATGCTTATCTTAAGAGCTTAATGCACAGAGTCCTTAAAGCTACAACTTGTTTTATTTTAAAGATAAAAGTTTTCAGTTGTAACCACAAATACTGAGAGGATCGGGTGTCGTACTTCGAAAACGGTGCTAGTTGCAGTAGATGAGTGAAATATGGAGGTGAAAAACCCAGAAACGTCTTATAAATTAGGGTAGGTAGAGAAGCCATTTAACAAGAGGGTAGAGGTGACAACGATGTGTTCTGTAAGGAGCATTTGTAACAAAGTAAATAAGAGTGACAAATTGTGTCCAGTTTACAAAGGACACCCTTACAAGCATGTCTGTAAATTATTTCTCCATAATCCAACAGAGGTAGAATGTTTTTTTCGACAATGGTGTGTTTTGCAGCCAATATAAACAAAGCTTGATTTCTATATAACCAAGTCTCACTTTAACCTTAGATTGCAAAACATTAACATGATGCAACTGAAAAGGACACCATCAATCCAAATTCCCAAGTATTTATAAACCGTTACCTCTTCTATAATATCACCGTTTACAGTGGTGAGGTCCACCGAGGTGGGTGTGGTCACTCCTCCATGACTGAACCACATCATTTTAGTGATCGTTGGTCTCGATTCTGTGGCCGAGTTGGCTTTCATCGAACAAATGTTAACAAGAAAACTTAGATCTGCTCGAAACACTTTGTTGGAGTGAACGAGCCACCAGACGAGCAACTGATCCCAAACCAGCGACTGCAGTCCCTGACCAGGTCCACCATGTCTTACTCGTTATGTTTTGAACAGGAGCACTGGACGTCTTTTTCAACTAGGTTCGGCCCGGCTGCTGGACACTGCTCATCTTGCTTTACAGCCAGCGATGGAGCCTTTTATTATTATATCCTTCAATATATTCTGAGTCCATTTTGGCCCCGGAAACGTCTTCATTTAAGTTTACATGGTAGTCGTTATGCATGAGGCCTGCTGTGTTGTTTGACAGATATCTGAGTTTGGTTTTTTTCCCACAATTCTCAAGACTGATCAACACTAATGTGTCTCTATTCCCTGTTCCTGATTGGTTTGTGGATCCGCCTCAGCTGTGGTCCCGAGCTGAGCAAATGTTCTGATGTCAGCAAACTGCAGCCGTTGACTGGCCCGTGGTCACCGTCACTGGATGAGCCAAGGCGGTACTTGTAAACTCCCAGTGAACAAGGAAAGACCTCTCAGCAAGAAGGTCATCTGATCAAATCCTGATTGAGTGAATGGTTGTCTTATTTGTCTCGATGTGTCCCTGGACTGGGGACCTGTCCAGGGTGTCCCCCACCTCTCACACAGTGACTGCTGGATATGGACACCAGTGACCCCCGTGAACCATAAAGGAAGAAGCAGGTAAAGATGATGGATGGATGAAACGAGGAGATCAGAAATGTACTTAACGGTGGAGGCTACAGTTCATCCAAGAGCTTGAGGTAAAGGTTAGGTAAATTACTTTGCATCCATATCAGAGACGACCCCACCTGGAGCGGCTGGACTTCCTAAAGAGGTTGAGCATCTTACCCAGTCTGCCATGGTCCACAAGCACCTGCAGTGTGATGAAGATCGCTGAGAGGATCACCAGGACTCCTCTGCAGAGGACCTTCCACCACAGAAGAGCTGCCTCCATCCTGGAGAACCCCACCCACCCCAACACTGACTGATCACAATGCAGGACCTCCAGATGCAAGAACTCCTTCTTTCCAAACGACACCAGACTCTTAAGAACTGAATGTTCCTTCACAAACGTTGATGTTCATTTTACTTTGTTGGTACCTTTGGTTGTCTCTTATTTGTAAATGGTTTTAGTTCTCTGCTGGGCAGTCATTGTGGGCAGCAAAGTAAGAACTCCACGCGACACTTTGAATCTTTGAATGAAAGATCTCAGCCGTTTATTAGCTTGAACATGGCGCTGAAGAAAAACGGTACGGTTTCAAACATTATGAGCTGACCTGGACCAGATCCTCTCGGTGATTTCTCTAACGCCGGGGGTAAGTTAGCTTAGCATCCCGTTCCCGCGCCGTTTCCGGTTAGTTAACTAACCGACGAGAAGAAACGAACACCGGAGCTTCAGCTGGGCGCTAAACCGATCAACCGAACGAGAATCACGCGCCACAGACTCTAAACTACACCCAAAATCGCAAAACAAGAGAACAACAGCAAACAATCAACTCACCGTCCGCCATGTTTGTTTCTTCTTCGTTGATTTTTTTTTTTTGGCGGTTGACAAACAACGAACTTGGTGCATTACCGCCGCCGACTGGTACGGAGTAAGATGACGAAATATTATCTGATATTTTTTTCTTTTAGAGTTATTTCTAAATACATCAATTCAATCTAATTTTTCTTTAACTCTATTTAAATTTTGAATCAAATGTCTTTCTCCCTCATAATTTTGACAGTGTAACATTGCATGTTCTATTTAACTTCACAGTATTCACATTTACCACTGCAATGTTTCCCTAAAATAAAAAGAGTGCTTTTTAACCCAGTATGCCCAATTCTGAGATGATAAATCATTGTCTCTTCTCTCCTTGTCCTCCCTGTACTTCTCATTTCTCCAGTTGTTTTTCTTTTGGATTTTATAGAAATGATACCCTTTCTTTTCTTCCTCCCAAAGCTTTGGCCATTTATCCTTCATTTTCTGTTTTATTAATAATTTTATTTCTGCTTTACTAAAATTAACTGCTAAATCCACTGATGGGTTTCTAGTGACTTCCTTTGCAGTTTTATATGCCATTTCATTCCCCGTGACACCATGAGCTGGTATCCATACAAACATAATCATTAGACCCATCATATTTAGAGTTTATTACTAGAAAGATGCAAGAAGCTATTTTTAAAGTTGAAAAATGGTCATACAAGCGAGGATTTAAGTTTTCGGTAGAAAAGACTAATGTTCTTTACAAGGAAAAAAATTGGTGATGATATATTACTATCATATTTATTTCATTTTGTATATTGCTTTGTGTTACCTGTTGTTCTGTCTGTACAGCACTTTGGTTGGCCTTGTCGCTGTTTTAAGTGATCTATAAATAAAATGGTATGGTATTTATTCTGTATTTGTTAAATTTCTATTAAAATATCTGGCCTGCTTTCTGGTTACATTTTAAATTATCTGCAATTTGAACAAATTACTGATCTCATTGGTCTTATTTCTTCAACCCACTGAATGGCTAATAATATTGCAAACGTTTCTCCCATGTATACTGAAAGTTCATCATTTATTCTTTTCCTAACTTTGATGTTAAAATCTGGTACAATGAAAGCTACTTCAACTCTATTTAATATGTTCTTTGAAGCATCTGTATAACTAATATTTATTGATATAGTTCTGTACCGTATGCGAATTTAAAATTAACCCTTTATTCTCGTTTTTTCTTTTCAACAAGGTAAATTCTACCATGACATCTGGAAGTATCCAAGGTGGTGTTACTGCTAATGGAGTTGTTTGACTTATATTGATCTGATCTATTTTGAGTTCTGTTGATTTCTGATTCACAATCCAACCAAAACGTCTAATATATTTTACTTCTTTTTCCCAGCAAGGTTTACAGTAACTGTTTCTTGGGTTGGATGCTCCTGTCCATGACCTCTTAAATTAATTTAATGTCAGTTGCTTTCTTCTAATTTTAAGTGGCATTTCTCCCATTTCTACCAGTAATGATGCTGTGGGAGTAGTTCTAATTGCACCTGTACACAGTCTAACTCTTGATACTATCTAATTTTTGTAAAGTTGTATCTGCTGCTGAATTATAAACAATGCTTCCATAGTCTAGTACTGATCGAATTAATCCTGTATAGCCTCGAGTGCTGTATCTGCCCCTCAGTCTCTTCCAGTTAAACACCTCATGATATTTAACACCTTCTTGCATTTATCTAAAACTTTCTGAATGTGTCTATCCTGTGTAATCCTCTCATCAAATTAGACCCCAAGAAAATTAAATTGCTTCACTTTTTCTGTTCCTTGGTTATATAACTTTAGTTTAATATCATCAACAAATTTTTTTCTTGTAAAGAACATTAGTATTTTCTACTGAAAACTTAAATCCTCACTTGTATGACCATTTTTCAACTTTAAAAATACTTTGTAGCTTCTTGCATCTTTCTAGTAATAAACTCTAGTTCATTCCCGTCTTCCACACTGCGCCGTCATCAGCAAAAAGAGAAAAACCCATCCCAGTATCTACATTTTGAAACGCATCAGAATAATGGTTTCTTATCCTTACTTGTATTTGTCTTCTGGTAAGAAAATCGTTTATCCATCTATACATCCGTCCTATAATATACCTATATTTCTAATTGCAATTAATAAACCTTCTTTCCACATCATATCATACACTTTCTCAATGTCAAAAAACACTACTGCAGTACTCTGTTTTTTAACTTGGGCTTTTCTGATTTCAAATTTCAAACTTAAAACTGAATCCATAGTGTTTCCTGTCCTAAAACCACTTTGATATTGTGATAATATTGATTATATATAATATATCAACCTGTCATTAATCATTTTCTCCATTATTTTGCATATGTTAGACATTAATGCATTGAGTCTGTAATGTTATGGTTTTGCATCATCTTAGCCTGGCTTGCAAATTGGTATTATTCCTGCTTCTTTCCAACCTTGCGGTAATTTTCCACTCTCCTAAACTTTATTACAAAGTTCCAATAAAATGTCTTTAGATGATTCACTAAGATGTTTCACCATTAAATAACAAATCTGATCTTTCCCAGGTGTTGTTAGCTTAAATTTCTGTAGGGTTCGATTTAACTCTGATTTTGTAAAAGGCACATTTAATAGATCATTTACATCTTCTACATGCTCCAATATATCTCTTATCTGCCATTGTCATTTCTCTTCCCCCTTTACCTTCCAAAGTAATATTATCTGAACTATGTATTTTAGTAAAGGTTTTCCATCAGATCTGCCTTTTCAGGAAAAAAAAAAACAGTTATGTTGTTGCTAAGATGGCCTCTGGGGCACGCCCTCTCCTCCTGGTTCAAAACACCAAAGTTCATGCTCAATAATCCAGGTATAAAATCCAGCAATGTTCAGTCAGGTCAAATGGACTTTTTTTTTTTTTTTTGTGCTGAGACGTTTCGCCCTCCAGCCAAAAGGCTTCATCGAAGGAGAGGGTGGGCATCTCAGCACCAACATAACTGTTTTTTTACTATATTTATTTATTTTATTTACTATTTTTACTATACTACGTACCTATTTTCTTCATTATTATTTTGTTACCAATTAGAAGTATCTATTCCCAATTTAATTTAAAGACTCAAAAAATTGATTACAGTAACAAATTCTGTTTAAAACTTTATATAAACAGAATAATAAAGAAAACATGGCCTCAGAGCTCATTTTCTGTGAATAAAGTGTGAGATGTTTGGGACTAATAATAATAATAATGATAATAACAATATTAATAATAAAAAGTATAAAAGACCCCAATAACCCTCAGGAGGGAAGTGAGGGAGCTAACAGGCCTGTGGGTCCAGCAGCAGAAACAGAAGTCCAGTTTTGTTTTGTTAAAATATTTATTTTAACTTGAAAAAAATCCATAGGGTCAGTGAACGCATCGTTTCACCAACAGAATCCCTGAAACTAAAACAGATTCAGAGTTCTGCATTCAGGTTCTGATCAGAACATCAGGGTTCTGTTAACTGAAGAAGCTCTGAAGAAGATCCGATCAGACGTTCCATCCTCAGAAGATGAAGGGAATCAGGGCTTTCCTGGAGCGAGGATAATCCTGGAACCTCAGTTGGTAATCTCTATACAACACGAAGCACAGAACCCTAATCTGAGACAACCATCAACAAGAACCAAGTTCTGCAGGTTCTGTAACTCTAAGACCTGCTGCCTTTGGCCACAACCTGTGGTTCTGGACTGTGAGGGTACCTGTGGTGCTGGTAGGCTCTGGGTCCAATGGAGCAGAGGGTGAAGAAGGCGAAGGCGAAGGCCGGTAAAGACCACGCTGCCACAGCGTAACCGAACCACTCAGTGATCTCTCCCAGAAAGTTGGCGCCGGACACAAACTCAAACATCCCACCTGGAAGTCAGAAGAAGGTCACTTGACTGAAGGATCACAGGGGTCGGGGTTAGTTCTGGATCAGGACCGGCCGTACCACGGGGGATCCTGTAGACCAACTCTCCGGGTTTTCTCAGGTTCCGTAGAATGTTGTCGCTGTGGATGTTGATGGTCAGACCAACGAGGAACAGCAGAGAACCTTCAAGCAATTCAAAAAAACAAATCAACACTGAGGTTCTGATCCAGAACTGCTGACCAGAGGTCCTGAACCAGAGGTCAAGACCCAGAGATTCTGACCTGATCTTTTTTGAATGAACACTAAGCGGTCCCGTCAGTGTCCTCTACAGTTCTTCTCTGTTTTTGGACCTTCATGTTACCTTCAGCTTTTTTTTGTTGTTGTTGTTTTTGTATAAAAACCTTCAGCTGGTTCTGATCTGACAATTGAATTTTGAATCTTTTTGAAACATTTTACTTTATAGACGCTTATTAAACTTAAGAAAAAAGTCACCAAATGATTAAAAAAAAAACCCAGTTAATCTGAATTTTTAGTTTTTGGCTGCTGGTCAAACAGGAGGTCTTGGCTCAGGTGTCCTGCAGCGATGTGTGTGGGTCAGCCAGGTATGACTCACCTGCAGTGATGCGGGCACGAGTCAGCCAGGTGTTCTGGAAGCGAGTGCAATGCAGCAGGTTGTGTCCCTGCAGGAGGCCGTTGATCGAGCAGAAGGTAAAGGCGAAGACGACGATCTTCAGGGGGATCGGTTGTCCTCGAGTCAACAAGGAGTAAACAAAACTCCTGAAGAACAAACTGAAGTCAATTCCTGTTTGTTTCTTAGACTCCACCCACAACACTGGTGCTGTTGACAAACATGGTGTCGGTGGAAATTGTGCTTCTGTTAGTTGAAGACCATGAGGAGGGAAATGTGTCAGGAGACAGCATGAGAAGAGTAAAGTCAATAATGTAGGACTGAGGGTGGACACTCTAAATGTGGGGCAAAGGTAGCATGATGCAGAGAAGGAAGGTAGATGTTTTATGTGTCCAAGAGTCCAAGTGGAAGCGCAGTAAGTCTCACAGCACTGGAGCAGGGTTTGTTGAGTACAATGTATGCCACTGTTGTATTTTCCTTTGGGGATGGCACTACTTTGTAGGGTGGAAGGTTACGCACTACTGAAAAGTAATAAAGGTGGAGCCTTCCTGCATTCATGTTCCGGTGCGTGTTCGAGCCAGAGCGGTGCAGTATGGCTACCAGTTCAACAAAGAAAATGTCTCCTGTCTTATGTACCTGAGCAAGCTAGACACCTGAAAAGATGTCTACACAAGCTGTAGATAGTGAGGAAGAGTCAGTAGCTCCTAGAGTGAATAATAGGAGAACCGCTGCGGAAGAGCCAACAGGGTTTAAACTCTTTTGCCATGGTGTGGATACAACGAGAAATGGAGTAGGGGTGGTCCTGAAGGAGGAGTTAGCAAAGAATGTAGTAGAGGTGAAAAGAGTGTCTGATAGGGTGATGTGCCTGAAGGTAGAAGTAGAACGTCTGATGCTAAATGTTGTCAGTGGTTATGCTCCACAGGTTGGATGTGATGTGGAGGAGAAAGATAAACTTTGGAAGGATCTGGATGAAGTGATAGAGTATTCCCAGGAAGGAGAGAGTGGCGATCAGAGCAGACCTGAACGGACATGTAGGCCTGTCGCAATAAACAATAAGTCAATTAATCGTCCAGCAAAATTTGTTATCATGACAGGCTTATGGACATGTTGGTGAAGGAAACAAAGGGGATGAGGAAGTGATGAAGAATTTTATTTAACTTGGAGAGATAGCCTGCTAAAATATAAGAAATCTCTCTGTATGTATATTATTAATCTCTAATAGATGAGTGTCATGATCACATCCTCTGTCCCCTGCCTCGCTCACAGCCCCTCATGTCTTGTTGCTGCTCCTTCAGGTCATATTTCTGCCCTGTCATGCTCTGCTCTCAAACTTTGCCTCTCAGCCACACCCTGCACTGCAGCTCAATCAGCTGCTTAATTTTTCTCTAATGAATGGTTACGTACCACAGCACTTTAAGGTTGCTGTAATTAAACATTTACTTGAGAAACTTGATCTTGATTCAGAAATTCTGGCCGGTTAGACCTATCTAATCTAATATTCATCAAAAAAATTCTCAAGAAAATAGTTGCAGGTCAGTTGCGTGAACATCTGCAAATAAATAACCTGAGGAGTTTCAGTCAGGGTTTAGAGCTCACCATAGCACAGAGACAGCACTGAAAGTTACTAATGATATTCTCATGCCTCAGACAATGGACTTGTGTCTGTGCTGGTCCTGTTAGACCTCAGTGCTGCATTTGATACAGAGATGACCACAATATAAATCCTGACAAACACAAGAACGCAGGATGAAGAAACAGCAAAAATGAGGACGCTGTCAAAACACGAAGACATGAGGGACAGTAAAGACCTGGTGATGACAATGTCTCTCTCACGCACACACACACACACAGTCCTGATAAACTCAACATTTTCTCTGCAGTGTTTGTGAACTTGTTTAATTTAGGAGTTTTTCCTTTCCACTGTCGTCTTCATGCTTGCTGAGAGTTCTGCAGATGGAGTTCAACTCAAAGCAGTCTGCTCCTCGGATAAATAATGTTCAATTATTATTTTTAAATATGAATGTTTCCGTTCTGCACCCTGAGACGACTTCTGTTGTGACCTTGGTGCTAAATAAACAAACTGAATCGAATTTACCAACGTTTATTTCTGTTGTTAAACCCTATTTGTTGTTGTTATTTACCTGCTTTTTCTGTTGTTTATCCCCGTTGTTGTTGTTGTTTACCCCTTTTTGTTTCCAATTTGTTGCTGTTGGTTTGTTGTTGTTTTTAGTTCTGTCTGTCTCTTTAGTCAAACTTTAATTTTTGTGGCTCAAAAGTTAATTTCTGTTTAAATAATTAAACACTGTGAGAGTGCAACGATGATAAACGATCCAGACTAATGGTCGGTTCGGTTCTGGCCCGGATGTCTGACCTGTAGAAGTAGTGCAGCATGAAGGTCGACAGCAGCATCCTCCCGGTCCTGGTCCCGGTCCCGGAGTCCAGCAGCAGCAGCAGCAGAGGCAGCAGGAAGGCTGGAACCTCCTGCAGGAACCAGCCGGTTCGGGCCGAGCAGCACCGGCCCCGGGCCGGGCTGTAGCGGCCATACGGAGCGCAGGTTCGGTTCTGGTGCAGCATGTAAGCCAGCCCCCCCACGATCATCAGCCAGCTCACACAGGACACGGTGCTGACCCAGCACTCCATCATCCGAACCGGCCGGCCTGCAGAGACACAACTGGAGGAGCTGCTGGTTCTGGACCGGGTCTGAGCCGAACTTTATTCAAGTTTTCCGCAGAGGCGTGGTTCGCAAGTTTAAACCCAGCCCAGCTCAACACGAATCAGCCCAGTTCGGTTCAGTTCTGCCCCAACTCCGAGAGACCGGAGTTGGGGCAGAAGTTCTGGCTTCGACCCGTTCGAACCGAACCAGCTGCCGGTTTTCTGCCTGAGTGACCGTCAGGAACCGAACCAACAGCTGAAGTTTCACTTCCTCCTCTGCCTGGACTGATGACGCCTTTTATTCAACATTTCTCTTAATTATTTTATATTTTCTAACAGTTGACTTTTTTCTTAAAAAACACCATGTTAAATTATGTCACACTCATTTATGTAATATTATTATAGGCTACACATAAAACTTATCAATATTTGTTATGTAGAATTCCTAATTCATAATTTCATTATTCCATCCATCCATCCATCCATTATCTTTCACCTGCTTCTTCCATTTCGGGTCACGTGGGTCCAGCAATCAGTGTGCGAGGGGCGGGGGACACCCTGGACAGGTCGCAAGTCCATCACAGGACCACATAGAGATAATTTTATTGTTAAAAATTGTCAATCATAAATATCAAATAAAAATGAGTGTCCAGTCAGTAAATTAATTTTACATTGAGTCTCGTGCTTTCTGGCTCTCGAGACATGGAAGTTATTAATTCATTCATTCAACCTTTATTTATATGTTAGTCTCATTGAGTCAGGAGGACTCATTTTCAAGAGAGAACTAAAAAATAAAACACAGATGAGGTACACATAAAAATAAACGGTCATAAAAAGAAGATATAATGAAAAGTAAATAAAAGTAGTGAAGTAAAACTAAATAAAAACCAGCTACATCATGAAACGGAGTAAAATACTGAAAACAGGAACATGCATTGATTTTTACATTTAATATAACAGATGTATAAAATCCCTTAGAGAGGTCCAAGTCCACCGCTTCAGATCTTTTTGCAAGGTGTTCCAGGAGCCGAGTAAGAAAATGCCCTTTTGCCAAGTTCAGTCCACACTGACGGGACGCTGCAGGTAATGATGTCTTGAGAGCGCACGCTGTAACTGCACTGACGACATGGAGGAGTTATATGAAGGCAGCAGACCAAGGAGTGATTTATTTAATTGTTTGGTTCAGTAATTTACTGACAGTCCCTAAGGCAGAAGTCAGCCTGGTTCAGCTTGAACAGAAAAACAAACACGGCTGAATATCCAACTGAAAACTGTCCAAGAAAAGAACCGGATCCGAGTCAGTTCTGACACATCAGGAACCGGACGTTGACTTCCTGTCCCAAAGAGATGCCATTTATGTTTAATTAATTATTAATTATTTCATTAACTAATTAATTAATTTCCCTGCTCCTGCAGGTTCAGATTGTGTCCTCCTCTAAACCAAACGGGATTACTGTTCATCCAGAACAGGTGACAGGTGCACAGCTCTCTGGACTGCACTCGGGAGCTCTAAACCTGAAGACGTGCTGTGTGCAAATGTTTTCATGCCCTCCAGCTGCTGCAGGATGAGGAGAATCAGAACCACCTGTGGGTTCTAAGAGCAGAACGACACGGACATCAGTCCCCGGTGTTGGACACAATGTTCTTTCTGCTGCTGACTGATCATTAATCTTCTAAATTTAATCCAGCTTAAACAGACAATGTTCTCTGGTGGACTCAGCAGGTTTAAAGAAGACCAGGTGAGAATTGGTGCCAGTGGGCGTCTCGCTGATCTCAAACCAACACCGAGTCCATGGGGCTGGATTATGTCAGTCCCAGTGAGACTCTGCTGGACTTGCCTGTAGATCTGATCTCTGATGATCGCGGGCCGCACCTGCATGGACCTCACACCTGGAAACAAGTAGATCAGATCACCAGAACCCATTAAAATGGGACATACAGAGGAAAATGCAGGAGTTATTTATGAGGAGGAACTACTTTTCATATTATTATATATATATATATATTTTTTTTTGCTTGGAGCAACTGTCTGTGTGAACCGGTTAAATCGGTTTAATTTGGATATTTTGATTATTTTCAGTTTAAGAGTAAAATAAACCTGACAGGTTGGACCGGTTCTGAGCTATGTCTGTGCAACAGAATGTGAATAAGAAATGAGATAGTTACTCTTTAAAAACAAACACAGTTAGTGAGTTAGTTACTGGACATTCTGTTTTTATACCTGACTTCTGCAGCTCCTTTTTCTTTTTAACCTAAATTAACCATTGTCCAGGGTCTACGTCAAGCTCTGTCCCACCAGTTCTCCATCTCCGACCAGAACAATACGGCTGAGTCATGTACCGTTGAGGTCATGACTTAGAAATGACTGAGAAATTAGAGACGCTCAACAAAGATAACCACAGGAAGCATTAAGCATAACTCCAGGAAGAATGTTCATCCCCGAGGTCATTAAAAATAAGGTTCATTGGTTCACACGTCAAACTTTTCGTGTCACCCGGGGGTCAATAGAATGGTCTCGTTTGCTGAGACATTTCTGGTGTCCTTCCATGAATAATGATGTTAAAGAGTTTGTTGCAGCCTGCCCTACGTGTCAAAGTTTCTTTATTTGTTGTTCACACCACATGTGGTACATGTGGGGAATGAAATTGTGTACCCAGGGTCTCAGTTACATCCAACAAAAGTATGAATAGTAAAGAAAAATAGTAATAAGATCTAAGATTTGAACTAAGAAATATGCTAAACTAAGAATACACTAAGCACTAAAAGTACAAAAACAATACGCCAAAAACAGCAATGTGCACATAATAAGAGCAACAATCAACCCTCCATTGAAGTATCATAACCACTACCTGCTCCAGGGCGTCAGTGGTCTCATGTTACCCTGGATTTCATCACGACTACCCGTCTCTGTGGGTAACTCTGTCATATTAACCGTAATTGACAGATTTTCTAAAGCTGCCCATTTTATCTTTATTTTACCTAAGTTACCATCATCCTCTGAGACTTTTCGACCGATAGTTCAACATGTTTTTTAGCTCCATGGCATGCTCCGTGATATTGTTTCTGATTGGGGCCCAAAGTTCATATCTTAGGCATGGAAAGCCTCGTGCCAAGCTCTGGGAGCTTAAACCAGTCTCACCTCCAGTTACCGTTACTCGCTCTCGTGCAAGGCGGATGGATTTTCCTCCTCTTCCTGCTCTCCTGTCCACCTGCTTTTTTTTTTCCTCTCTGTGTATCGGAGCTCCTATTTTACACATTTTCTGAAACTAAAACTCCTGTTATGGATCTGGTCAACTGGACTTTCAAAGCAACTGACAAAATCTTTTCAACAAACTGACAGGGTCCTGGAGAACCCTCATGCCCCGCTGAGTCACACGCAGCAGGATACGTCATGGATCTGTGGGGAGTTTGGGAGCTGATGAGCCTTTCCGTATTATCAGGAGGATTTCGAAGATGTTTATATAATTGGAACCATGATAGCAGGGTTTCTGCTTTTTGACATCGGCAGATTCCTATGTTATCGAGAAGGGGTTCTCTGCAGACCAAAAGTGGGCGTTTCTGGCGAATAGGCGTTTATGGGCGGCGAACACTGATTGGCTAACAGTATTTAATAGGCGTTTGTCGGCGGCGAACACTGATTGGCTGTGGGTAACCCTCAAAGTCACGAGTCATTGATGAGGTAACGTTTCTTTGCGATATTTGACAAAGAAATATGGTTTATTGTACTTATAAAGTATGTTATGTTTTCACTTATGCATTTTATTGAAGTACGTTTATTGTAGGTCACGATAGTTTCGACCGTTCTCTCGTTGTTGTCGTAACGCACTGAGGTAAAGTGAGCCTCCACTCGGCTCCTTTTCAAAATAAAAGCTGAAAATAAAAGTTCTTAATACTTGAAAAATAAATATTTAAAAGCTGTGTATAACTGAAAAATATGAAAAAAAATAAATGAATAAAAGTTATTAGCTGAAAAATAAATAAATAAAAGCTGTTAATTATATCTATGTCTTTCTGCCATGTCAGGGACCTCTCTCACTTCAGACTGACTCTAGAAGACCCCAAGATGTTGCCCAACAATGTTGACCAACATCTGATGTTGACTTTCATTACTCAATAATGAGTAATAACTTATTCAATAAAAAGTCTGTAATTTGTCAATAATAGTCAATAATTCATTCAAGAATAGATTATGGGTGTTTGGTATGGCTCAGTGGCTAAAATGGGTTGGATGTTAGAGAAATTACTTAATTTTCAATTACCTGAATGCACAAATTCCTTCATTTATAGTTAAACTTTAGGAAATCAACTTTTTTTTTCTTGTGAAAAAAATATCAAAATTAACTTTAAAATCCAATCCAGGATTAAGTAACAACTAGCAACACCCTAACTGTACTATGTTCTGTGTTTCCAACAGATGCTACGATGACTTCTAAAAATGGATGTCCCAATAAACACAATAAAAAAAAATTCAATGATGCATCAAATGTTGTCTGAGTATGTTTTAAGGTAATAACAAATGTGAAATCTGGAAAACAAAGAGAATTCCTGAATCTGTCTTGTGTGCTTTGATGTGTACATAAGTTTATTGGAGGTCCTGAAACAACTTTTCTGAGAACACAAAGATTTTTATTTTACCTTTGGCCAAGATGTCAGTTTGAAATCAGGCTGCTTACTGCAAAACCAAGAGGTTTTTTAAGACGGTCTTCATTTGTATTGTTTTGTCGACTAAGCTAAATGTAATTTCTAAAATATGGATAAATCTGATCTCATCATGCAGCATGAGCAACTGGGTACAGGTGTGAGGGCCAAAAGTCTGGTTATGTACTGACTCCTAAATGTGCTGGTTTTCTACTGAAACATGGAGTAGGGTTGACCTTTAAATAGTGAGACAGCTGAGGAAGTTAACCAGTAAACAGAATACCTGCTCCAGGTGCAGAAATCTGACAGAACCTGACAATCACTCTTCTGTAGTGACTGCAGGTTGAACAAGACAATGTGAAGTTAAAGGAAACATTCTTTGTCCCAAGGCCAGTTTAAGTATCATTAATATTTTTCTTTCTTTATGAATCGATTGTAACTTTGTTCACATTTTTCAACAACCAAAATGGAATTTGTTTTTTTAATGTTATGGCTAGGTATTAAAAAAAACCCTAACATTTAGCTCTCCCCACTACCCAGTTATGTTGCTCTTATTTTGAAATGTAACCGGAAGTTTGGTGTTAAGAGAGTCGAAAAAAGAAGTTATGGAGACGCGGCGGCAGTATACTGGAGCAATGTCGAACCGAGACGCCGCCAGTGTTGAACCTGAGACGCCGCTAATGTCGAACCGGATAACACCATAGACATAATATGCCTGTGGTTAACACAATCTGCCAATAGCACCTTGTTTTTAGACATAATGTGTCTGTGGTTACGGCATTTTATCGTTCAGCCTTTTTTTCTATCGTCCAATCAGATGTGGCCGGCCAGACACGCCTATTTTTCTATCGTCCAATCAAATATGGCCGTCCAGACACGCCCATTTTTCTATTGTCCAATCAGATGTGGCCGGCCAGACACGCCTATTTTCATATAGTCCAATCAGATATGATCGCCCAGATACGCCCATTTTCTTATAGTCCAATCAGATATGACCGCCCAGATACGCCTTCAGAATTTGGCTGCAGAGATACCTACTTGATGTTATCAGCTATTGAAGAAGTCGGCGGCAGCAGTTTCAGCCATGGCAAAACTGCCGAGTCTGTGTGAAGGTTTGGTTCGTGCTTCGAGTACTCAAAATCAGCTGATTTACAAGCTAAACTGTAAGATGGAAGCGATTTGTGAGAATCGCAGGCCACCTGTGGCTTCTGGGACTCGCCAGCATGTTGGGAACGACCTTGGAGAGGGTTCATAAGCACGGACCAGTGGAATGCCCACAAATCTGGCCATTTTGGATCGAAAGTACCAGCAGGACTCAAAGCTGACAAGAAAAAAACAGTCTGCCTGAGAAAATCAACATTTGTGGGTTATCTGAATCTGACTCCCTCGGTTGGCCTCGAAGCAGGCTGACTTATCAAATTTCTCCTGGGATATGTGTAAACTAAGAAAAACTATGTTCATCGCAAACACCCCCCCACCCCCCCCAACCCGAGAACTTCTGTGAAGGCTTATCAGAGCCGTACCGGCTGACACAAACATTTTAATAGGACTATAGACTATCTGGAAGTGCTTCATGGACAAATCTCACCGTCTTGCCATCAAATGCTTCTGTAATGTGTTTATAAATGTGCTTGCTTGTAGAGTTTTGTGATGTCTCAAATCGTGTCCTAATAAGGACAAGATGTGAAGAGATCTTTTTTGTAATACCACTTTCCTATCCTCATGGCCTTTTCCCTTTTTCTTTCTAAAAAGTATTCTGAAAAAGGATAAGTGGCCGTGCGCTCAAGGAGCAGCAGCAACGTGCACTCCGACTATCTTTCAGACGACTCTACAAACACAATCTCACTGTATTTCGGTACAGTGATAATAAAGTTTATTCTGATTCTGATTCATCCCCAGTCCAATGGCCAGTCACAGAGGTGCAACCAGGATGGAGACCACCCTCGGATGCATCATTAACAATAACCCTTCATTTTGGTGACAGCACTTACCCTGGGTGGAGTATGCTCATAACTCTCACACGTCCACTGCTACTGGATTATCACCTTTTACTTTATTATCGCTTTCGGATTATCACCTTTTTTACTCTACTTCCTAAGAAGATTAAGGAAGTTTGGTATGAACACCAGAATCCTCACCACTATGTGGCTGTATCATGTTTGTCACTACCTTACCAATATAATTCAGTTCATCTCAGTGTTACTCACTACCTGTGCAATAACCCGACACACAATCTGTGTAGTATGTTAGTTATGTGCATTATATATCATGTGCATTTAAGCTGATATTACTACCTGTAAAATATTTATTCATAATTCATACTTGCACCGTTATATTCTACCATGCTGTCATGTACTATATTTATTTTGGACCTTGTAAATATTGTATTTCTTTTTCACTTTTTGATACTTTTGTATTCTTGCATGCTTTAGATTTGTTTTGTTTGTTTTTTTGTTTGTTTTACGAGTTGAAACAGTTTTTCTCATCCTGAACATTTCATTGCATTGTTGACCTTGTGTTAACCTGCATACAAACAACAACAGCAACAACATTTTGAGGCTTCTCTGGGTTACTCTAGCAAAGTGAGAGTGGTGAGTGCATCCCTCTCCTGAGGTTTGGCATTGCTGAGGCAGGTTGAAACTTTGATCCTGAGTTGTTCTGCTTCAAACACTGTAATTTTTTTGTTGCCGATGGCTGATTCCGTGGCTGTGGTCATCTCCATCATCTCCACCAGAGGAATTCTTCTTGGCTCATCTGCAAAGTTCAGTCCCCTGGCAACGATCTCTGTCTCCATCTGGGTGAGCTGTCTGTCAGACAAATTCTTTACAAATTTGTTATTTTTATTTAAATATATACCTTTATTTATTCAGTGAGTTTGTAAATGACAAATTTTATTTTTGTATCCGAAATTAACCGGAAGTATTTTATTGTGAAGTTCTTGATTTCCGGTTTTGTCCCTGTTAAACCTATGTTGGAACATTAGATCTCTTTTCATGTCATAGTTTTTATTTTTTTTATATTTGACATAATTTTTGCAGTACAGTAATAAGATATTTGAGATGATTTTCTTCTTCTTCGGTGAATTTAGTGTAGTTTCTCAGTTTGGTGAACGTCAGCAGCTGAAGGTCAGCTGTTGTCGCCCCCTGCTGGTGACAGCTGCCCCCCCCTTCTTTTTCAGGGGAGACCACCTCCATTTTACCTCGGTCACTGGGCGGAGGAGTAGCGACTTGCAGCGGACTGCGCTGCCGGTGGAGGAGCAGCGTCCCCCGGTGGAGGTTTGAGGTCTTGGCGGCTCGAAGCGGCTTTTCTCTGGGATGGCGGCGCTGCGGCAGCTCGCTGGATTTGTGAGGATTTATCCCTGAGTTATTCTCCGTCGGACTGAGCTGCGAAGAGGAGGCGGCGGTTCGGATGATCAGGTACCGGCTCTGTTCTAACCACTGATTACCGGCTTTATTCTGCGGCCTTCTGTGACGCGCTTAGCGGGTCGGTCCGCGGCTGCAGGCCGCTGCTGGAGCCTCTCCGGCGGCCTGACAGCGCAGCTTCAGCCGGTAAGCATCCATCAGGGCCGGGGGGGAGGGGCTTATATAATGTGTGCGCAGCGCACGCGCAGGCCCGTGCGTCTGTCTGTGGAGTGCGGCCCTCACGCACGCTGAGTGCGCGCTCTGTACGGGTTGTTTCTGCAGCTTTGTGACGGAGGGAGGTTCGGGCCCGGCTGCAGGTGCAGCAGATCTGCGCAGACTAGACGACTGAACCGGCAGGAAAACAGAACCGGGTCAGAGAACCCAAAGAACCGATCCAGAACCAGCTGACGGACAAAATCAGGATTTTAACACGAGACAGAACATGGGTCAGAACTTCAGTTCCTTCTCGAAAGAGTCGATTTTAGTTGGACGTGAGTGACGGAACCACAGCCAGCGGGTAGAAGGCCCATCCTGAGCCTGGTTCTGGTTCTGGTGGAGGTTTTCTCCTGTGGAAGGGCCTCTGTTGGCCTGGTGTTTTATGACGAAGGTTTCTGAGTCCATCAGATGTTCTGGGTGTTCTTGGATGGGGTCAGAATGTTCTGAAGAGGTTCCTGTTGAGACAATCAGCTGCAGCAGATCAGAACCTTCTGTTATCAGGCAGCTGCAGGAACATGCCTGTCATGTGACCCAGAGGCCCAGCTGTTCTTTAACTCCGCCTCCTGGTGTCACACAAAGTACTAAACCCAGTTCACTTGTCCAAATCCAGGTTCTGTTGTGGTGCTTTGCTGCAGACTCAACTTTCATGGGCTCTGCCCCACACCGGACCAGTTAAGGGCCCGCCCACTGCCAGTACCACCCCAGGCCCGGTTTATAGGACCACTGTGGTTCCAAGGGCTGCTCCGAGGGGCTGGTTCTGACATAAGCAGACAGCAGCCGCTGATTGGCCAGCAGAGCTACATCACTGGATGACCCGCAAACTACATCAGAACTCTTCCTGTTGATGGACGGCGCCAGAAGAAATGAGCCCATGAAAGACATCAGAGATGACGGCAGCATGGCTACACCCGGAGCGATGAGCGGCGCCGAGTAAACTAACTGAAGTCAAGTCCGATTATTGAACCATTAAGGACCAGAACAGACGGAGTGTCGAACGATGACCTGTTGTGATCCCGCCTACAGAGTGGGGAAACGGGTCACAGAGCCGAGTGGAGCCGCTCATCAATGGCAGAGGCTTTGGAAACCACAGTGACAGAACCAGACCAGACCTCAGGTTCATCAGGTCCAGGTCAGATCCAGAATGATCCTGGATCTCTTTTCAGCGCCTGAACGTCTCACCAGCTGTTGTGTTCAAGTGTTTACCAAACTGTAGAAAATCTTAGATTGTTCTGGTTGAGCTAATTCAGAGACCTCAGTTGGTCCAGTCAGAACCAAAGTCATGTGTAAAACCTCCTGATGACCCGCTGGTCTAGGTTTTTGTTAATTTCTCTGGTTTCCATAGAAACATTAAGTCAACAGCTTCAGCTTTTGATTGACAGCTCTCTGAGCCAATAGGAACATCCACAGATGATCCAGTGGTCCTCTAGAACCTGCAGTTTGTGGTCCCAGATTGCATGAGATGTCAGGACTGGGTCAGACACCAGGACCGGGACTGACTCCAGGACCGAGACTGAGTCAGACTCCAGGACCGGGACTGAGTCCAGGGCTGGGACAGGGTCAGACACCTGTACCAGGACTGAGTCTAGGACCGGGACTGAGTCAGACACCAGGACCTGGACTGTGTCAGATACCAGGACTGGGACTGGGTCAGATACCAGAACCGGGACTGGGTCAGACACCAGGACTGGGTCTGGGTCAGACACCAGGACCAGGACCGAGTCCAGGGTCAGACAGCAGGACCGGGACTGAGTCAGATACCAGGAATGCGACTGTGTCAGACACCAGGACCTGGACTGTGTCAGATACCAGGACTGGGACTGGGTCAGACACCAGAACCAGGACTGAGTCAGATACCAGGACTGGGCCTGGGTCAGACACCAGAACCAGGACTGAGTCAGATACCAGAACCAGGACTGAGTCAGATACCAGGACTGGGACTGGGTCAGATACCAGGACTGGGACTGGGTCAGACACCAGGACTGGGACTGGGTCAGACACCAGAACTGGGACTGGGTCCGACACCAGGACCAGGACTGAGTCCAGGGTCAGACAGCAGGACCGGGACTGAGTCAGATACCAGGACTGGGACTGTGTCAGACACCAGAACCAGGACTGAGTCAGATACCAGGACTGGGACTGGGTCAGACACCAGGACTGAGATGGGGTCAGACTCCAGGACCAGGATGGGTTCAGAATTCAGGACCATGACTGAGCAGGACCGAGACTAAATATATCCTTATGGTCTTGAGGTTCTGTCGGGCTCAGGGTCTCAGGTGGATCATTCTGGTTTGTCCTCCTTAGGTCAGTACTGGGTTCTGCCGCCTGTAGGAGTGCTGGTCCGGCTTGTTTCAGTGAAAGATCCGATTTGGAATTTGCTCTGATTCAGCGCTGCTCAGAGCCCCGCCTCCGTCTCTGTTACCATGGCGACACGGCAGCATGACTCATCTGACGCTGCTCATATCTGAGCTGCAGCCAAACGGGCCGCTCCAGAACCACCGCTCAACGAGAGCTGCTGTCTAACTGCTCCTAACCTCCTGTCACCAGAACCTCCGTTCTGGTGACAGGAAGGAAGTGGGTCAGCAATGTGATTCACCTTTAGTCAGAGTCAGAACTAAATTTTACTCCACAAACCCAACCGGACCAGAGTTCTGATCAAGAACCGTCTGCAGTAAGGCTCTGACTGTACCCGCAGGGATCCAAACAGAACCAAGCTCTGTGTCCTGTATCTTGACATCTGAGGCGCATCTGGACTCACTTCTGGTTCTGCTGAACCCAAAGTTCTTCAGAACCTCAGAACATTTTATATATGTTAGAAACAATTAAAAAAAACTAATGTTTCTGTGAAAATGTTCTGGAAGGAGAACTGAAACTGAGAGAAGGTCCAAAGAACCATTGGTCCAGAATCACTTAACAGATCACAGAACCATCTGGATTGTTGGTAGGAGCCGGATCAGGAGTTTGGATCAGGACTGTAGGTGGTTCTAACGCAGAACATGAACTATGGATGGAAGCAGCAGCAGCAGCAGCAGCTGAGCAACGGACAAACGGATCTGAACAACCTGTCTATGAGACTTGGAGTAGGTCCAGAACCACTCGATCCTGAGAATCCAAGTCCATCTCTTTCACATCCAAGGTTCTTGAACCTAATAAACCGGATCGAGTCTTCATCAGGTTCTAAAATGATTGAAATCTGACCTGAAGTCAATAAAAACAACTGTTGTCACCAGGTCTTTTTTCACTAAACAGAACTGGTTCTGATCCAGAACCTCCTTCAGCTGCAGAATCTCAGTTGTTCTTGTAGGACTTCGTTTCTCTCCTGGTTCTGGAGAACTTCTGGTCCACTCAGTGATGGAAAGATGAGGGTTCTGTTCAGCTGTCTGAAGGTCCACTGCAGGATCTCAGTCAGGTTCAGGTTCTGGACTTTGACTGGACCTTGGTTCTGTTCTTTCTGACCCGTTCTGTAAATCAGCTGCTGTGTTCTGAATCATGGCCCTCTTGGACCCAGTTTGGTCCAAGCTTCAGCTATTGGACTCCAGAACTGTTTGGTCTGCAGAGGAGTTCTGGTCCACTCAGTGACTGACAGGAGCCCAAACCATCAGCGTCCACCACTGTGCTGACAGCTGGGAGGAGCTGTTTGCTACAGTGCATTCTGGGTACACACCTGTCCTCTGGTCTGGTTCTGGTCGAGAACTGTTGTGGTTCCTTCAGATGAACCTAAATTGAGCTGTCATGTTATTTTTAGAGAGGAAAGGCCATGACCTTTGACCTGCTGACTGAGGCCCATATTCAATGCATGGTCTGACCTTCAGGGTGAATCAGCTGTATGAAATGGTCTTCTCTTGTGAAGAATCTTTCTCTACATGACCTTTGACCCCGAACAGATTGACAGACAGCAACAGCAGCTTCTCTGAGGTCATTGCTGATGTCTTTCGACCTTGGTGTTGTGTTAACGCACACCTGGATGGTCCAAAGCAGCAGAACCTCCTGATGAGGATCAGTTAACCAGCAGTTCCTGATCTTGGCTGGAACTTTGAGGTCCTGTGGAAGCAGCAGGACTGGAACCAGGTTTTTGGTTCTGTTGAATAATTAACGACTCGGTGGAACCTGTCAGGTGTTTTTGTTCTGTTCAGTATGTGAAGTCCAGATCGGTTAGATCAGGTCCTGAAACTCAGATCGTATCCATGGAAACAAGACACCTCCTGTCTGGTCGTCTTCTTGCCGTCTGTCCTGTGACATCATCAGGCACAATGCCGTCACTGTGGCTGACGAGGCGGGAAAACTGGGTCAGGAGCTGTTGTCGTGGTAACGGGATGGGATCAGCTCAGGGCAAGCCGGGAAATGTAGTCCAGATGGTAGCAATGGTGATCCTGATCAGACACCTTCACCCGTAGGAGGGGTCAAAGGTCACCTCCAGCAGCCAGTCACACCAAGAGGTTAAAGAACATTTACCAGCTGCTCGTTCTGAATTATCTGTAAAATAAAACATATTTTAATTATGTTTTAGAATTGACAGGGAACAACAATTGACAGTTTTTAACCATAAAATAATCGTCTGACATAAGTCTCAATCAGCTCAAATTTAACGAGCTCAGTCCTAACGAGCACAAAGTTGACAGGACGCGTTCCACACAGCCAAGTTCTGATGGATCCAGAATAGATTAGTCTCACTCGATCAGTAAGGCGGCTTTCCACAATCCTTGTCCAGTGATCCGAGTACCAACAATCCGAATCCGAATGATTTCAGTTCTGACGACTAAAGACGTAACCCTCCCAAGCCCTAATGTTCCGAGTCCAAAGGTTCTGAACATTGCAGTGTTTCCCCAGTTAGCTTGCCATGGCGGGGTGCTCATCTCTTCTATGATTTTTGCTGATGGGGGGGGGGGAGAGACATGTCTGAGCGCAGCTTGTACTAACAGTTTTTGAGCTGGGGTGGGGGGCAGTCAACATGAGGGAAGAGGCAATGCGAGTGCTGCCTTTGGCTTTTTAGCTAGAGAGCCTGTATTCTGCACCACTAGCTTAGTGATATGTCCGTGCCGGGTGGGGGTGGGAAGGGCAAGTTCAGTTTGGTAGGCGGGGTGCTCAGTTCTGTTGACGAGGTGGGGCACCCCACCTGTATAATGGTTGGGGAAACACTGCGTTGACTCTCTTGGTCCTAACAGTCCCAGTCTTGTTCAGTTCAGCAACATTTGAGTTCTGAATGTTTCCAGTTGTTCTCATCACTTCCCTAGAGAATTCATCCAACTTCTTCTTCTGCAGATTCTTGGTGAGGATGCGGCAGTGAGCATGCTCAGAGCGCTCACCGTTACCATGGCGATGTTCAGTAGCTTCCAGGCCTGCAGCGGTCAGGACAACTGTTCTGCCAACAATGAGTCCAAAGCCTACTGTTACTCTGCTCGGATCCGGAGCACAGTGCTGCAGGGGCTGCCGTTCGGAGGCGTGCCCACTGTGCTCGCTCTCGACTTCATGTGTTTCCTGGTGAGTCCGCGCCAGCACGCCACACCCAACATGCACTGCGATTCTGTTTTTATTAACTTAACACCCAACATGCACTGTGTTCTGTTTTTATTAATTAACACCAAACTTTCACTGCAGATCTGTTTTGTTATCTAACACCCAACATGCACTGCAGTTCTGTTTTTATTAACACCCAGCATGCACTGCTGTTCTGTTTTTATTAATTAACACCAAACCTTCACTGCAGGTCTGTTTTTATTATCTAAAACCCAACATGCACTGCAGTTCTGTTTTTATTAACACCCAGCATGCACTGCAGTTCTGTTTTTATTAACACCAAACCTTCACTGCAGATCTGTTTTTATTATCTAACACCCAACATGCACTGCTGTTCTGTTTTTATTATCTAACACCCAGCATGCACTGCAGTTCTGTTTTTATTAACACCCAGCATGCACTCCAGTTCTGTTTTTATTAACACCAAACCTTAACTGCAGATCTGTTTTTATTATCTAACACCCAACATGCACTGCTGTTCTGTTTTTATTATCTAACACCCAGCATGCACTACGGTTCTGTTTTTAATAACGTTTTGTTACAGTTCGTCATGATGCCGCTCAATAATTCAGGTAGCTAAAACTAACAAGGTTAAGTCGGGTCATCTGAATAGATTCTTCTTTGAAATAAGTAGAATCTATTCAGAGGACCTGACTTAACTTTGTTAGTTTTGTTGCAGTCTTTTTATTGATTTATTTGTACTTTTTTCCCCATGTTTATCACTTCCTGCATCTTTTTGTTTTGCTGAGATGTTCACTGACTGTTGGAAAAATCAGCTTCTGTTTGAAGCTGAGAGAGACTTTATTTTTGTTTCAGTGATTAAAACTCGACAGACTCAGCAGTTATATTTTTCCTCACAGTTAAACAGAAAACAACTTCTTCTTCTTCAGGTGCTGCTGTTCGTCTTCTCCATCCTGAGGAAAGTAGCGTGGGATTATGGCCGCCTGGCGCTGGTCACGGATGCAGACAGGTACGCAACCGTTTGGTGCCACAGAGAACAGAGTCAGATTGTTAAGTCAGCAGTTTTGTCAGATTCACTGGAATTTGTTTCTTTAGACTTAGCTCAGTTTTTAGCTTTAGCTCAGTTTTTTGACCGTAGCTCAGTTTTTTAGCTTTAGCTCAGTTTTTTGGCCGTAGCTCAGTTTTTTAGCTTTAGCTCAGGTTTCTTTAGACTTAGCTCAGTTTTTAGCTTTAGCTCAGTTTTTTTGGCCGTAGCTCAGTTTTTTAGCTTTAGCTCAGGTTTCTTTAGCCTTAGTTCATGTTTATGTAGCCTTTGCACAGTTTAATTTAGCCTTAGCTAATTTTTTTTAGCTTTAGCTCTGTTTTTTGATCATAGCTTAGTTTTTTAGCTTTAGCTCAAGTTTCTTTAGCATTAGTTCATGTTTATATAGCCTATGCACAGGTTAATTTAGCCTTAGATCAGTTTTTTTTTTTTTTTTTTTGTCGTAGCTCAAGTTTTTTTTAGCCTTAGCTCAGTTTTTTTTTTTTTTTTTCAATTTAGCTCAAGTTTTTTAACCTTATGTTTATATAGTCATTACACGGGTTAATTTAGCCTTAGCTCAGTTTTTTAGCCGTAACTCAAATTTCTTTAGCCTTAGCTCAGTTTTCCCATTTAGCTCAAGTTTCTTTAGCCATAGTTCATGTTTATACAGGGTAATTTAGCCTTTGCTCAGTTTTTTAGTCGTAGCTCAAGTTTCTTTAGCCTTAGCTCTGTTTTCATTAGCCTCAGCTAATAGCAGTATATTTGGAGAACTGGTGGACTCTAAACTTTTTGAAACCTTAACTGTTTGATAGAATTCAGGAGAACCTGTCCTTGTTGGACTTCATACTTTGTAACAAGCAGATTTCAAGACAAACATGGTGTGATCAAAGTAAACTGGACTGAATGTCGTCTTCCTCTTTCTTCACCTCCTCTGTCTTCCTCTGCAGGTTTTCATCTTTTCTTCCTCGGTAATCTTAAATGTTTTTTTTCTGTTTTTCTTCCTGAAGACTGAAGAAGCGTTTCAGAGACATGGAGGAGCACGAATAGTATGTTTGGTTTGTTCAGTAACACCTTCGTCTTCTTCTGTTTTTGTTAACAGGATGCTGCTCTCTGATTGGTGCATTAACAACCTATCAGTGCTTTTGTGTTTGAACGTTTGTAGGGTTGTCTTTGATGACTCATCACATTTAAGCTTTTTAACTTGTTGGTTGTGGCACTAACCCCCTCCCCATGCACCATGCCTCCCAGCGTGTTAGCGGTAGCAGCTAACGGATGCTAACGCTTCTCTCCATGTTTAACTCAGCCGAAGACGTGACAGAGATAACTATGAGCCGGTGAAAAGGTAATCAGCTGTTTGTGTCCATAGCTCAGCGTGGTGAGCCCTGTGACGTGGTATAGAACCAGATAACCAGCTAGTTCCGCTAACTCCACATGAAACCAGCAGCGTTCTTGGAGCCAGAACTTTAAATTATTGATAAAATTTAATCAGCTAGAACTTTGATCCCAACGCTCATTTTAAAGGGACATTTCCTGTTTGAAGACTTTACGTGCTGTCCTTCAATTAAAACACAGAAAGAATCAATCTCACATTGAGTTAAATCTAAGAAGCTCCTCAGTTTTCCTCAGGTTTTGTTAGCATGTTGTTCCTGGTCCAGATTCATGAGGAGGTACCAAAACCAGAGAAGGTTTGGAGCCTGAAGCTTTTGGGACTGTCTGATTTGTGTTGTATTTCACTTCCTGTTAGCTCCCTCTGTGACCGGTGTCTCCACTGCTGTCCAACCACCTATCAAATGCAGGGGTCAAAAGTCAGAGTGGCTAGATGCTAACAGCTAACTGACTGCTTCCTGTTTGTGTCCACAGCGTTGCCTCTGCGATGCATTCAGAGACTCCCGACCGCTATGAACGCCTCACCTCAGTGTCCAGCTCAGTGGACTTAGAACAGAGAGACAACGTAAGGACGTCTTCATCACTCTTCTCCCTCCTCCTCCTCACATCCTGTCTCCTACAGAGACATCTGAGCAGCTTGAGAATTAGAACTCAGTCAGAACCAAACTTTCACATTTCAATGAGATTTTCTGGCCTTAAACCTGGTTCCTGCCTTTGACTGAATCCTCCTGGAGATCAGAGATCTGATCAGTGACATGAAAGATCTGTGGGGACGGCCTTGATGGAGACAGGGCAGGAAGAAAAGCATGCTAGTTAATGTAGAAAACCCAGTGTTTTATGGAGGATGTATGATGAGTTATAAAGAGCTTTCATGTCCTGAGAAGATTCAGAGCTCAAATATGATGGAAGTCAATGAGAGTTTGGGTGTTTGACCTCTGAGGGAACAGACCATGTGAATCGATAACGGAGCTGGGACAGGTTTCATGGTACAAAAGAGTAACGACAGAGATTGAGGAGGAAATAGCTAAAAGCATGCTCAGCTGTCATCAAGTGATGCTTTCATGGAGCTTTTAAACAATGCAGATGGGACAAAAGAAGTAAGTTTGTTATAGACGGTTCCAGTCATTAGCAGCAGAAAACTGAAATGATGAATGACCAAATAAGGTGTGTGCTTTAGGGATCGATAGATAAAATAAATAATCAGAGTGCCCTCTAGTGGTTCATAGGACTCAATGAGGTCATGTGACCAGAGCGCCCTCTAGTGGTTCATAGGACTCTACGAGGTCATGTGACCAGATCACCAGCTAGTGGTTTACAGGACTCTACGAGGTCACGTGACCAGAGCTCCCTCTAGTGGCTTACCGGACTCAAGAGGTCACATAACCAAAGCTCCCTCGGTTTACCGGACGTTACAAGGTCACGTGACCAGAGCTCCCTCTAGTGGTTCATAGGACTCTACAAGGTCACGTGACCAGAGCTCCCTCTAGTGTTTTTTTAGCTCTACGAGGTCACGTGACCAGAGTGCTTTCTAGTGGTTTATGGACTCTTTGAGATCACGTGACCAGAGTGCCCTCAAATGGTTGACAGGACTCTATGGTAATCTCAGTTTTGGCGCCCCCTGTTGGCACAGACTGAACTACAATTTGAACTTTTTCCCTCCTTTGAATTTCTGGTGTTTAATTGTATGGTTCTGATTCTCCTTTTGTTTCAACGGATTGATTTTAAAAGCCCCACCTTCAGCAGGTGACACAGCATGCATGTGATGTCCTACACATGCACGCTCTGCCAGCTGCACTGAGACTGACCCATGGCACTCCTGTCATGTTTAACTCCTTCATGTCTGGATCAGAGTTTTTAACAACTTCCTGTTCTTCTTTCAGGGCTTCTGTTCGTGGCTTACGGCCATTTTCAGAATAAAGTGAGTATCATTTTCACAACTATTTCACCTCTTTGTTCCATTCACTAACAGCTGAAGACGCCTGCTGTTTTTTCAGAGCGTGAGCTCTTCAGAAAACCTTGTTAACGTCTGTGAGCTTGTGATTTCACAGCTCTGACCCTCTGATTTCCTGCTGCAGGGACGAGGAGATCCGGGAGAAATGTGGCGAGGACGCCGTGCACTACCTGTCCTTCCAGCGACACATCATCGGTCTGCTAGTTGTCGTTGGCGTTCTGTCTGTCGGCATCATCCTGCCCGTGAACTTCTCAGGAGACTTGCTGGGTAAGAGCTGCAGCTGAGGTCCAGGTGAGACCTGCAGATGGACTCTAGTCTGCAGGATTCCTCTCACGGTCTTCTGTGTCTGATTGGTTTTAGTCCGAATTATCAGTAAAGACGCATTCCTGAGCCAAGGAGCTCCTGGACCTCCTTCCAAAGAAGGTAAAGGTGGTGGCAGGGTTGTAGGAGCTCTGTACTCTGGTAGGCCTGTGGCTGGTGTCTGATGTGGTTTTAGCTGGACCTGAACTCAGTTTGGTTCGGTCAGTTGAAGTTGTCTCTGTGGTCAGTAGAAATGTGGTCTGAGCTGCTGCTACTGGATGTAGAAACCCGGTTCTGGTGAGTTGAACCTGATCTGATCCAATCTGTGCATCTTGTAGGTGAACATCAGTCCAACTTTAGGTCCAACAGAAAGTTGACCAACGAGAGCTGATTTACTTTATGAACCGACAGCAGCCGGACTGGTTCTGTGTGTCCTGACACGTTTCTCTAATTTCTTGCAGAAAACAACGCCTACAGCTTCGGTCGCACCACGATAGCCAACCTGAAATCTGGGTAAGTCTCAGTCCGTTTCAGCAGAACACAGCTGTGTTCAGGAACACATTTCCAGCAGAACCTTCTGCGTTGTTGCTTTAATTTGTGTAAATTTATTTAACAAGTCCTGTGGTTGTTGGTAGATGAGCCTGAAGGCTCAGAACAACTCATTGTTAAAGATAAAAACTGACTTGTCAGTGAGGGACATGAGGTCACTAAATAAACTGCTCTTCAACCTGCCCTTCGTGACACCCTATGAAGACAGAGAGGCTCCTTTGTTTGAGGTTGAGGGTAGCTATAGTTGGGCTCGACACACAGCATGGGCTCCAGAACCAATCTCCTGGAGAAGAGCTGGACTTTATTCCACTCTGGAGTTGCCCACGGTGAGAGGCGCAGAGCTGGTGTGGGTTTACTTTTAGCCCCCCGACTTGGTGCCTGTGCATTGGAGTTTTCCCCGGTAGATGAGAGGGTAACTTCCCTGCGCCTTTGGGTGAGGTAAGTGCTCCGATGGTTGTTTGTGCCTATGCGCCAAACAGCAGTTCAGAGTATTCGGCCTTCTTGGAGTCTTTAGCCGGGGTGCTGGAAGGTGCTCCAGCTGGGGACTTCTTTATTCTGCAGGGGGACTTCAATACCCACGTGGGTAATGACCGTGTGACCTAGAGTGGTGTGATTGGGAGGAACGGCCTCTCTGAACCCGAGCAGTGTTCTGTTGTTGGACTTCTGTGCTAGTCGTAGTTTTTCCATCACTAACACCATGCTCGAACATAAGGGTGTCCATAAGTGCACTTGGCACCAGGATGCCCTAGGTCTTAGATCGATGATGGACTTTGTAGTTGTGTCGTCTGATTTGCAGCCTTTTCTTTTGGACACTTGGGTGAAGAGACAAGCTAAGCTGTCAACTGATTACCACCTGGTAGTGAGTTGGGTCAGATTGGGGGGAAGATGCCAGACAGACCTGGAAGACCCAAACGTGTAGTGAGGGTTTGCTGGGAACGCCTGGCAGAAGAACCCATTGGAAAGATCTTTATGTCACACCTCTGGGAGAGCTTTAACTGCATCTCAGCTGAGGCGGGGGACATCGAGTCCAAGTGGTCCATGGTCTGTCCCTCAGTCGTTGAGGTAGCTACCTTGAGCTGTGGCTGCAAGCTTGTCGGTGCTTCTCGCGGTGACCATCCTCAAACTTGGTGGTAGACACCCTGAGTTAGGGAGACTGTCAAGCTGAAGGAGGAGTCCTATCGGGCCTTGTTGGCTGGTGGGACTCCAGAGGCAGCTGAGGAGTACCAGAGGGCCAAGCAGACCACAGCCTTGGCTGTTGCTGAGGTGAAAGCTCGGATGAGGGAGGAGTTCGTGAGCCCTTAGGTAGAGACTCTCAGTCGGCTCCAAGGAGATTCTGGCAAACCATCAGGCAGCTGAGGAGGGGACAGCAGCACTTTACTACCACTGTGTTTAGTGTTTGGGTGCTGTTGACCTCAACCAGTGGTAGAAAGAAAACAAGTCGGATCTTCTCAGTCCCACCATTGTCCTCATGAAGGAAGCTGAGTCTTCTTAAAATAAAAGCTAAACTAAGGGTTTGTTAGCCTAGACTCACATTAACTTGTGTTAACCTGAACCGGTCTCAGCTGTGATCTGAACAGAACTGAAGTGGTTTTCTTTTTCAGAACCAACCTGCTGTGGCTCCACACGACATTCGCCTTTATGTATCTGCTGCTGACTGTCTACAGCATGAGGAGACACACGTCTAAGATGCACTACAAGGAGGACGACCTGGTAGGCTCATAGGTCCAGTACACATTTCTAACCCATATTCTGGGGTTGTTCATTAATCTCAGTTTTTTGCCTTGCAGGTGAAACGCACTTTATTCATTAATGGCATTTCTAGGTATGCTGAGGAGAGTCAGATCAAGCAGCACTTTGAGTAAGTTCCCTGGTCGTTGTTGACTCTGTGGACTGGTTTTGGTTCTGAACAGCTGGTCAGTTTACCTGCTCCTCTTTTGTTCTGTCTGTAGGCAGGCGTATGAGAACTGCACTGTGCTGGAGGCTCAGATCTGCTATAATGTAGCCAAACTGATGGCTCTGAATGCTGAGAGGTGAGTTGGGCCTGATGCATGCTGGGATACTGTCCTGAATCATGACCCTTCTTCCTGACTCCATGCCAACCAGCACTTCTGGACTGGTTTTAATGTCTGTGTGTGTTTCTGTTGACAGGAAGAAGACGGAGCGCAGTAAGAAGTTCTTCACGGACCTGATGGCGAAGGAACACATTCCCACCATGATCAACCCCAAACCCTGCGGACACCTATGCTGCTGCGCCATCACCGGCTGCGAGGAGGTGACGCTCATCTTGTCTTTGCGTTTCAGAGAAATAAATCCAACTTCCTGTAAAACAACTGAAGCTTCCTGTCTGCAGAAACTCTTCCTGAATGTGGGCATGTTTTTGTTTGTCCTGCAGGAGGAGGCGGTCAGCTACTACACAAAGATGGAGGCCAAACTGAAAGAGGAGTACAGGAAGGAGAAGGAGAAGGTCCACACCAAACCGCTGGGCATGGCCTTTGTCACCTTCCAGAACGAGGCCATGACCGCCATGTAAGCCCCGCCCCTAAAAGATCCCCACTTCCTTTTCAAATCAAATCACTTATTTATAAATCACATTTAAAAACAACTGTCATTGGCCAAAGTGCTGCACAAAGTACAAAAAACAGGAGACCATGAAACGTATAATAATAAAAAACATCTAAAATGAAAGAAAAACAAAATAAGAATCAGAATCAGCTTTACTGTCATTGCACAGCGAAATTACGTTCCGTACTGTCGTCTGAAGGGTAGATGGAAGTGTACCAGGGCTGCAGCTTCTGCAAAGCGCTAAAACCAATGAAGGAGGCTGTGAATCAATCAATCCATCCGTCCGTCCGGATGGATTTAAATTTGATATATGTATTTCAGGCTGACATAGATCTAAAACTTATTGTGGAAAAAATATAAAAAAAATAAATAATTTAAATTAATTAAATTAGTTGATTTTTCCCATAAGGACACAAAGCTAAAGGAACGTCCAGAGTTGGCTCTCCTGCTGCCCTTGTGTCAGATGAGCATTTTTCATGTCTTATCTGGCTCCGCCCCTAACAGTTCTATGTATCTGCTCCCTAAAATCTGTCCACTCTGACTCTGCCCCTTAACATCTGTCCTCTGGCTTTGCCCCCTAACTTCTGTCTTCTGGCTTTGCCCCCTAACTTCTGTCATCTCTGACTCCGCCCCCAACATTTGTCCACTCTGACTCCGCCCCCTAATATCTGTCCTCTCTGGCTTTGCCCCCGCCAGCTGTCCTCTTTGACCATGCCCTTCAAAATTTGTCCTCCCTGGCTCCACCCTCTAAAATCAGTCCTTTCTGGCTCTGCACCCTAACATATGTCCTCTCTGACTCCGCCCTCTAACATCTGTCCTCTCTGACTCCGCCCTCTCTTCTCACAGCATCTTGAAGGACTTTAACGCTTGTCAGGTCCAGGGTTGTCGGTGTCAGCTGGAGCCTTGCTCCTCCCAGTTCAGCGAAGTCCTTCATGTTTACAACTGGAGCGTTTCATATGCGCCCGACCCGCAGAACGTCCGCTGGTACGTAAATAAGCCCCGCCCACCTCAGACCATGCCTGCTCTGAATGAATGGACTGATTTATCATTAACATCCTGCAGGGAGAACTTATCACTGGGTGGGATCTCCTGGTGGATCCGCTGCTTCATCATCAATTGCATTCTCTTCCTCCTGCTCTTCTTCCTCACCACGCCCGCCATCATCATCTCCACCATGGACAAGTTCAACGTCACCAAGCCTGTGGAGTATCTGAACGTGAGGAGCCTCAGCTTCAGTTGCCATGTGTTGCTTCACCCTGTTCTGCTGGGCTGTTCTCTCCGACTCATTTGTTTCTTTGTTTGTTTATTTACAGAACCCCATCGTCACTCAGTTCTTCCCCACCCTGCTGCTCTGGGCCTTCTCTGCTCTGCTCCCCACCATCGTCTACTACTCTGCTTTCTTTGAGGCCCACTGGACCAGGTACCGCTGCCTCGTCTTCCTCAGTTCTGTTTCAGTGAGCTCGGTCAGAACCTGATCAAATCAGATTTTAGCCAAACCTGAGTCCAGTCAAAGGGTCTTCCATCAGAAACCAAAGTCAGGGACCAGCTGAAGTCCAGCTGGATTTAAAATGGGTCGAGGTGTGATCAGAACATTTGTTCCTGCAGGTCCGGAGAGAACAGGACCACGATGCACAAGTGTTACACCTTCTTGATCTTCATGGTTCTGCTGCTGCCATCCCTTGGACTCAGCAGGTATGAGTTGGTCCACAGAGACCGTCCACAGAGTCTGTCCTTGTCTCACTCATTCGTCTCTCCCTTCAGTTTGGACGTGTTCTTCCGCTGGCTGTTTGACAAGAAGTTCCTGGCTGATGCTAAAATCAGATTTGAGTAAGTTCTTTATTTTTATCTCATTTTTATTTGATTTTATTCAACCTTTATTTATGCAGGTTCGTCTCATTGAGACACCAGGACTCATTTTCAAGAGACCTGTTTTAGACAGACAACATGCAAAGTACAGACAACAATAATTTAACAAAAAGGAAGAACGTATGTAAGCTCAATCATCCAGGTAAATAAATCACAAAAAAAAGTTGAATCGTGTCATCTGGACAGATTGTTCTTGAAAGAAACGTTCCGTCTTTCATCCGAAGGACTTCGTCAGTCTGAGGTCTGCCAACAAGATCTATCGTATAAACCACCTTAGTGACGTGATTCAAGCCCCAGCTTACTGTGGAATTCCCTGAAACTGGCTTTAAACCTGCAAAAAGGGGACAGTCAGTCTAAACAATCGATCTTCAGTGCACAACAGTTGTTATAGGCCTGACGGCCGCTTGCTAATCACTGACCCTGCCTGAGGACAACTTGGCCAAAATGGCCAGAAGAATCTGTCCAGATGATGATTTAACTTTTTTGTGATCAACAAAAAGCTATGAAAATAAAAATGGTGTTATTGTTATTTTTTTCAACTGTAATTTTTGGAAATTGAAATTAAAAATTGTGTTAAGTTTGTTTTGAATGAAAAGTACCCCGTGTTTAAAAGTCTAAAAATTGTATTAACGCTATTAAAGAACAGGTCTTAAGTATTTATGTTACACAAATTTCCATCGCATTAAAGAGACAAATTGAAAAAAAATTAATAAACATGAGGGTTATGAGGGGGTCCCTTAACCCAAAAAGTTTAAGAACCCCTGACCCTTGGTCCCGTCGCCTCATCATCTGGTGAAAGGCTTCAGGTGTTCCAGGTGTGCGCTGCAGATTTCACAGCTTTGTAAGAGGCTCAGAGTTGGACTGTTTTTGAGGTTCTCTGTGGTCCAGTTGGATCTGGACTGGACAGCCTTGGCTCTTCATCACGGAGCATGAGAAGAAGTCAGAAATGGGTCAATGTTTAAGTTTATGTGGGATTCATTAATAAAACATGTTTTCTTCAGGTGCGTCTTCCTGCCAGATAATGGAGCATTCTTTGTCAACTATGTCATCGCATCAGCCTTCATCGGTAACGCAATGGACCTACTGAGGATCCCCGGTCTGCTCATGTACATGATCCGGCTCTGTCTGGCTCGCTCCGCTGCAGACCGCAGGAATGTGAAGAGGGTGAGTCCAGCCGCTGACCGGGAGGAAGGGGGCAGGATCAAATGTCCTGAAAGGTCTCTGACTCTACCTGTGTGGTCTCTGCAGCATCAGGCCTACGAGTTCCAGTTCGGAGCGGCGTACGCCTGGATAATGAACGTCTTCACGGTGGTGATGGCCTACAGCATCACCTGCCCCATCATCGTCCCCTTCGGTCAGTCTCGCACACGGTACGATTCCTTCTGAGCTTCCTGTGCAGGTGTACTCAGCTCACCTGTCCTCCACAGGTCTCATGTACATGCTGCTGAAACACCTGGTGGACAGATATAACATGTACTACGCTTACCTGCCCTCCAAACTGGACAAGAAGATCCACTCAGGAGCTGTCACTCAGGTGGTCGCTGCGCCCATCCTCTGCCTCTTCTGGCTCCTCTTCTTCTCCACCGTACGAACAGGTGAGCAGCACCCCCTACTGGACAGCACAAACCCTGGTCTGTTTGGATCAGCTGGTCCACTCAGAGCTGCACACAGGTGATGGGTTAGTGTCCAATATTTAAACTTTTCAGCCCCACTGAACATAGTAGAAAAATCTCCTTGAAGCTTTAAGTTTAGCTGAAGTCAGGATTTGTCCTGTGTCACTGGTTAATAACTGGCTAATAACCAGATAATAACTGGCTAGTAACTTGTTAATTATTGATAAATAACTGGATAATTGCTGGTTAATTACTTGATAACTTTTGTTTAATAACTGGATAATTAATAGATTTTTGGTTAATAACTATAACAATTGGTTAATAACTGGTTAGTTATTGGTTAATAACTGGATAATTGCTGGCTAATAACTGGATAATTATTGTTAATAATTGGATAATAACTAGTTGATTTTTGGTTATTAACTTGATAATAATTGGTTTAACTTGTTAATATCTGGATAATAGCTGGTTAATTGGATAATTGCTGACTAATAACTTGGTAATGACTTGTTAATTATTGGTTAATAACTTGTTAGTAATGCTAATTTCCTCCAGGCTTCGAGACTCCGACCTCCATGTTTACCCTGGTGGTTCTGATTGTCACCATCGTGGTCTGCCTGTCCCACGTTTGCTTCGGACACTTTAAGTACCTGAGCGCCCACAACTACAAGGCGAGTTCTACTCGAGCAGTCTGTGGATCCTGTTCTGGTCCTCTTGTCTCACTTTAACTGTCTCCATCACAGATTGACACGAAGGACAATGAAGCAGATGCTATGAAGAATGGACGCCCTGCTCGACCTTCGTCCTCCCCGACCTCTAAATCTCAGGTGAGTTATGTCGCTCGAAGCTTCTCCAGTTGCCGGTCTTGGTTCCTGAATGGTTTCAGTCCATTTGACCCAGTGGTGGTTCTGTGTGTCCAGCTGCAGCAGCAGCAGGCGCAGCAGCAGCAGATGTACATCGCCCAGGTGCTCCAGGACCCGAACTCAGATGAGCCGGGTGGCGCCAGCAGCGAGGAGGACCGGGGCTCGTCGCAGGACGAGGAGATGCTAAATGGAGGGACCAGCATCAACGAGGCGGATTTCCAGTCAGGGGAGGACAGTCTGATCGCCAACGAGGTCCACCATTAGCTAGGGGTGGAGCCAGAGGGAGGGGCGGGACTAGCCACGCGATAGTTAAATTTAAAGATGACTGGAGATTCACTGCTCGCACTCAGACAGTAGTCTGGCTTGGTTAGCTCCGCCCCCTCTCAGCCTGAAGACTTGACCCTGACATTTGACGCCAGTGCCAGATCGCCACCTTCCAGCCGTCAACAGGAAGTTCCTGTACAGACCCACCGAGCCAAATCCTGTCCGGACTTTCTCTGGTGGGGTTCTACCTAGTGCCTAGGCTGGATTCTGTTTGTCCTCAGGATCTGGACCCCTGATGGATCTGTAGGTCCTCAGGATCTGGACCCCTGATGGATTTGTAGATCTTCAGGATCTGGACCCCTGTTGGGTCTATAGGTCCTCAGGATCTGGACCCCTGATGGATCTGTAGGTCCTCAGGATCTGAACCCCTGATGGATCTGTAGGTCCTCAGGATCTGGACCCCTGATGGGTCTGTAGGTCCTCAGGATCTGGATCCCTGATGGGTCTGTAGGTCATTAGAACCTGTTGACGTTCTGGTCTGGTGGACTCCAGCAGATAAACTCGGGACGTTTCTGTAGTTCTTGGTACCAGCCAGACCCATTAAAAACTCTGCAGCTGTCAGTTTTTGTAGTCGCTGAAGCCTCGCTTGCGCTTTTAAGTTTTTCTGTCCCTCCTCGTGGACTCGGAGCAGTCCTTCTGCCCCCCTTCATTCCTTGCCACCTTTGTTTCCTGGATCTTTTGTCTTTCAATAACCCGTCCAGCTTCTTTGCATGTTGGTAAAAGTTCTGTCCCTGCCTCGGGACGATGTCCATCACCACACATTTCTGTCCTGATGTCAGCGGATGCTAGATGAACGTTCAGGTCCTGAGCCAGCAGACTTGACACCAGGAACTTTCCTTCTCTGGTTTTTGTTTCACCTGGAGTACCTTGAATTTAAAGGTACAGAGACATTTGTGTCTTTGTTGGGTTAGCACCCTGTGGACCCTCTGTAGGACATGAGGACCCTCTATATGACCATATGGACCCTGTGTTGGACACTGGGACTCTCTGTAGGACCATCTGGACCCTGTGTAGGACCCTCTTTCGGATACTGGGACTCCTCCCGCTGCAGCAGGATGGTCGGATGACGGGCCGATGCTGAAGAGCATTGCTTTTCGTTCGGTCAGTCGTCACGACGTCTGAAGCCGTCAGGACTGTCTCTGTGTGTGTGTTTGGTACCCAGAATCACCATCCCAGGTTCCAGAGCTTCCCAACTGGATAATGGGTTCAGACAAATGCTTCCTCTGGTACACAATCATGTTTGATCATCAACTCAAGAGGTTCTACTGGGCCACCGGTTCTGGTTCTGTCCACAGAGAAGGCCTCCGTCGTGTTTGCTTCACAGTATGGGTCATCATTGTTCCAGTTCATCCGGACCTCCTGCCGGTGGTTCTGGTCCAGTTGCTCCTTGACATACTTTGTTTGTTAAAGAATCTCTGAAGTCATAAATTCAACCAGGTAATGCAGAGAGATGGGCGGAGCTTGATCAAAGCTCCTGAGACCCTCAGACCCCCCCCCCCCCCCCCCACCCACCCAATCAGTTTTTTCTTTAACCTTATAAGACAAATAGGAGCTGATGTTCTGGTTCTGGACCTGAGGACCAGGTTTTGTTTCCATGAAAACGGGAAGCTCCTGCTGTGATCATGATTATGACAATGATGAAGAAGATGAAGAAAAGTCTCAGGTGTTTTTTTCCCCATAAATTAATGTTTACATCAGTTTTTGTTGCTCCTGTAGTTTTGTTCTGCACTGTGTGTGTGTGTGTGTGTGCACGCACATGTGTGTGGGGGTGTGTGCACGTGTGTGTGTGTGTGTGTGTGTGTGAGAGAGAGAGAGAGCGAGACAGAGCTGGACTATGAAAGCTGCAACCGTCCACACTTTGTGTTGGACGGCAGCACGCTGGAGAACCTGCACCGTTTGTGTCCTGTTGTTGTTGTTGTTCGGCCCTGATTGTACGCACATGAAGCTGCAGCAGAACTTGCAGCAGGTTTTAGGTCCGAATCTGACCCTACACCTTCAGCTCAGCACCTCCAAGCCTCACCGACTGGAACATTTGGATAAAGATCAGTAAAAGAGCGATCCAAAAATGTAAGATAAATCTAATGGGAACCGAAATGTCATCCAGGTCGGGACCCTGTCCAACTGGACCTGATACTAACCAGTTCAAAGATAAGCAGACCTGATCCAGTTCTTTATGCAAATGGAATCGAGGAACCACAGCTCAGGTTTAGCAGCTTCCAGGTGGGTCCAGTCGGTTCTGGTTCCGAGGAGCTGGGCTGCAGCGTAATATTTTTGTAACTTACCGACTGAAGTATTTGACCCGGAACACGTGGTGAAGACAAAGCTGTGACGAAAACGTTTGAAGTTTCTGAAGTTCCTGAAGTTCCTGAAATGTGAAAGAAAGCGGGACTGAAAGAGTCAAACGTGTAAATAAGTTGTTGAAGTTCTCCATCAGAGACAATCTGAGCTTCAGTTCAGGATTATTTATTGGTGTGACACTATTTATTTCTACTCGTGTTCAGTGAAATATTTGTTCTGTTTATGTTCCATGATCAATAAAACTGGTTCCCATCTGCTGGGTGTCTGTGTGTGTGAAGAAACCAGGAGGCAGACCTGCAGGGTGCCCACATCAAGAATATGTTGGGATTATTATCAGGATTACATCAAGAACATGTCGTCGGAATTAGATCAGGAACATGTTGGGATTATTTTCAGGATTGGATCAGGAACATGTCTGGATTATTATCAGGAACATATTGGGATTATCAAGTTTAGATCAGGAATATGTTGGGATTATTATCAGGATTACGTCAAAAACATGGGATTATTATTAGGTTTAGATCAGGAATATGTCAGGATTATCAAGACTAGGATCAAGTATGTCTGGATCAGATCAGGAACATGTTGAGATTATTATCCGGATTACATCAGGAATATGTTGGGATTATTATCAGGAATGCATCAGGAACATGTCGGGATTGGATCAGTAACTTGTCGGGATTATTGTCAGGATAACATCAATAACATGTCAAAGATTATAGCAGGAACATGTCAGGATTAGATCAGGAACTTGCCAGGACTTACCAGGATTACGTGAAAAATATGTCGGGAATAGATCATGAACATGTCGGAGTTTGACTTCCTGTGGGCCTACCACCTGCAGGAGGGGCCATACAAGTCGAGTGCATGATGTCATGGGCAGTACGGTGGCCTTGATGCTCTGACCCTGGTTTACCAAAGCTGGCTCTTGGGACAAAGAATGTGATCTCTCTGGCGGGGAAGGAGTCTGAGTTTGTGCGTGAGAATGAGAGGTACCGAATAGATGCACTGTAGTAGGGCTCACCTCAACTCGCAGCATGTGTTCCAGAACCAATCTTCTTGAGAGGGGCTGGACCTTATTCCACCCTGGAGTTGCCTATGGTGAGAGGCACCGAGTTGGTCTGGGTCTACTTTCAGCCCCCCGATTTGGTGCCTGTGTGTTGGAGTTTTCCCCAGTAGATGAGAGGGTAGTTTCCCTGTGCCTTCAGGTGGGATACTGGCTCTGAACTGTAGTGCCTATGTGCCGAACGGCACTTCTAAGTATCCGGCCTGGAAGGTGCGCTGGGGGACTTCAATTCCCATGTGCGTAATGACAGTGGGACCTGGAGTGGTGTGACTGGGAGGAACAGCCTCGCTGATCTGAATCTGAGTGGAGTTCTGTTGTTGGACTTCTGTTCTAGTCATAGTTTGTCCATCACTAACACCATGTTTGAACATAAGGGTGTCCATAAGTGCACTTGGCACCAGGACGCCCTAGGTTGTAGATCGATGATTGACTTTGTAGTCATGTCATTTGATTTGCAGCCATTTGTTTTGGACACTCGGGTGAAGAGAGGAGCTGAGCTGTAAACTGATCATCACCTGGTAGTGAGTTGCAAGAAACCGTCAGAAAGATCTTCAACTCACACCTCTGGGAGAGCTTTAACTGCATCCCAACTGAGGCGGGGGCTATTGTGTCCGAGTGATCCGCACCTCAATTGTTGAGGTAGCTGCCTTGAACCGTGGCCACAAGGTTGTCGGTACTTCTCGTAGTGGCCATCCTCGGACTTGGTGGTAGACAGCTCGGGTGAGGGAGGCTGTCGAGATGAAGTAAGAGTCCTATTGGACCGTGTTGACTAGTTGGACTCAGAAGGCAGCTGAGGAGTATCGGATGGCCAAGCAGTCTGCAGCTTTGGCTGTTGCTGAGGCAAAAGCTCGGATGAAGGAGGAGTTCTTGAGGCCAGAGACTCTCAGTTGGCTCTGAGGAGATTCTGGCAAACCATCAGGTGGCTAAGGAGGGGGAAGCAGCGCTTTTTTAACACTGTAAAGTGAAGGTGGGATGCTGTTGACCTCAAACAGTGATGTCATCGGGAGGTGGATACTTCTCTGACCTTCTCAATCCCACCAGCACGTCTTCCATGGAGGATGCTGAGTCAGGGGACTTCGGGGTTGGTCTGGCCATAACCGTGACAGGTTGCCGAGGTAGTTAAAAAGCTCTGTGGAGACATGGCTACGGGGGTGGATAAGGTTCGCCCTGATCTTTTTAAGGCTCTCGATGTTGTGGGGCTGTCTTGGATGACACACCTTTGCAACATTGCATGGACATCTGGGGGCATCATCGTGCTGTGATCTTCAGCTCTTGCTGGAGCGGTTCGCAGCCGAATGTGCAGCTGCTGGGATGAGAATCAGCACCTCCAAACTTGAGTTATCCGGGACAAACTCAGAGTAGAACCATTGTTTCTCCACATTGAAAGGAGCCAGTTGATGTGGTTCTGGCATCTGATAAGGGTGCTTCCTGGGCGCTTCCCTAGGGAGGTGCTTTGGGCATGTCTGACTGAGAGGAGACCCCAGGGAAGACCCAAGATATGCTTGAGAGATTACTCTCTCGTTTGGCCTGAAAACACCTTGGAGTCACTCCAGAAGAGCTGGAAGAGGTGGCTGGGGAAAGAGATGTCTGGGCCTCCCTGCTCAAGCTGCTGCCCCCGTTACCGGACTTCAGAACAAGCGAAAGATGATGGATGGATAGATGAAAAACACATATAAAACTCAGTCGAGCAGAAATTAAAGCATAAAATAAGAGAAAGATGGCAAAAAAGAAGAAAGAAAAGGTTGCGAGTAGAACTGAAAGAAACAGGAAACTGACGTTTCAGAATTAACACACGGAATTAAACAGAAAATTATAAATAACAAGGAAACATAATACAGGTAAATGTGACTACTGTGGAGATGATGAGATTATAGAACCTATTTTATTCTACTGCCAGAAATACAGACATGAAAGAACTCAGCTGATTAACAGTCTCAGTAAAATTAAAGTAAAGTTTGATCCTATTGAATTACTGCAGAATTCAAAATCTGACACTACTCAGGCTTTAATATAATATCTGAAACAAACCGTTTGAAAAATATGAGCAGGTTTTTGTCTTTATGTTTTATTTATTTTTAAACGTCCTTTCTAACCAGCAAGTGGCGGTAATCCTCCAAAGTGTTGTCTACCGACCGCCAAATAAAACCGAAGAAGACGAACTTCCGGTGAGAGGCGGAAACAGTCCGGAGCTCGTTAGCTGAAGCTAAAGCTAACGTGATGTCTACGGCTTCCAAAGTGGTTCTGGGAGTTTCTGTGGTTCTGACTTTGAGTACTGTGGTAGGGGTCCACCTCAAGCAGTCCTGGGAAAGGGAGGTAAGCTCCTCCGAACCGAGCCGGCCCAATAGAGACCGAGCTAACAGTTCTGATTTGGATGACTTTCTGAGAGGAACGGGTTGAATGATGGAGAATGACAAAACCCCGTAAAGTAATAACATTTAAATCTCAACCAGGTGGTTCCGAGCGGTTCTATTCAGACAGGCTGAGTCTCGCCGTGACTCCAAAGTTCTGACCTTTTTAAAACATTAAACGGTAAACACAGGTCAAAGGTCAGGGAACCACACCTGGTCTCATTTAAGTTCCAGCAACCGGCTCATGATTTGATCGGGTTCACAGCTGGACCGGCTCGGTCAGAGTCGGATCCTGGATGGATCCAGCATCCTGGATCTTCTGTTGGACCTGTTAAACCCAGCACAATGTTGAAGTTGTTCTTGACTGTTGAATCGGACCGGACCAGGTGTGATGGTGTTTGATGTGGGCTGGTTCTGATGTGGTCTCCACACCTCTGCAGCGCCTCCATCAGGGTGTGGTCCGGGATCTGGAGCAGACAGAGAGGAAGAAGGAGAACCTGAGGCTGCTGGAAGAGCAGAGGCTTCTGACTAAACTCCTGGAGGAAGAGAGGCGGAGCTCCACCCATAGGACACCTGAGGCAGGTAAACACTGAGGGAGGCAGAACGGTTCTCATTCAGATGAGTCTGAACAGTTTACAGCTGATTAATGACGTGAAGCTTTTAAAATCTGACGTCTGGCTGTCATGTGACCTCAGGTGAGTCGTGTACCTGAGGCTCCGCCATGGACAGTAGCGGCGAGCAGCTGGCGGTGCCGGAGGACGAGGCAGCTTGTACGTCGACCTCAGATGGACTGGAGGAGGGGGAGGTGGAGGGGGAGACGCTGCTGATCGTGGAGTCGGAGGACCAGGGCTCCGTGGACCTGTCACATGACCAGAGCGGAGACTCGCTAACCAGCGACGTGGGCGAGGAGGCGGATGGCGGTGGCTGGGCCTGCGAGGACATGTCCTTCTACTGCGAGCGGTGCCACAAGTGGATCCCTGCGGGTCAGCCAATCGGAGCACAGCACAGACGCACACACAAACAGCCTTGTTGAATCAACAGTTTGGGTTTTGGTTCTTCAGTCTGACCCAGATCTGCTCTGATTTCAGCTCAACTCCACGGAGACCAGCCCAGTTACCTGAAAGGAGACAACTTCTTTAAGTTCACCTGCTTCGACTGCTCTGAGGACAGGAAGGAGAGCTTTGACAGGATGAGGCTCACCTGGCAGCAGGTATGACATCCTTCCCCCTCACACACACACACATGCACACACAGGTTTAAAGACCAGGTGCTTCCTGTGTGTCAGGTGGTGATGTTGGCCATGTACAACCTGTCTCTGGAGGGGACGGGACGACAGGGCTACTTCAGGTGGAAGGAGGACATCTGCTCTTTCATTGGTCGACACTGGAACTTCCTGCTGGGAAACAGGTGAGGTCGTCTGATCGCTGTCACAGCTCACCTGGATTATTTAACATTTTTAGCAGAGACATTGAACCAGTTTAAAGTTTATTTGAAGGATTTTTGATGTTTTGGAACCTCAACCATTTGTCTACAGCCTCCACGACATCCCCCGGCGGTCTCCTGATGACCTCGTGTCGGTCATGTGATCCGTGCCAGCCACTCAAGTTTTGCTCAAACCGTCTGATGATGACGATGACGTTTCTTCTGGGATTTTCACAGGAAGAAGACGTCAACGTGGTGGAGCACGGTTGCTGGCTGCTTGTCAGTTGGAAGCCCCACTTTCTTCCGATCGGGAGCGCAGGAGTTTGGAGAACCCGGATGGTGGAAGCTGGTCCAGAACAGACCTCCCACCTTGAGACCTGAGGGGGACAAGTCTGCCTCCAAGACCAAAGGTGAGCTACAGAGACATGGCAGCGTCCAGGTGAGAAAGCTCCGCCCCCTGATTCATCATATTGTTCACCTGCAGCCTCCAAGCCGGTCCTGGACCCGATCATCACGGTGGAGGGCCTGAGGAAGCGTGGAGCCAGGAACCCCGTGGAGAACGCCATGCAGCTGAAGGAGAAGCGATGCCGCACACAGGAAGCCAAAGATATCCGGCGAGCTCAGAAGGAGGCGGTGGGAGGCTACACCGACCGCAGCACCTCCTCCACACCCATCAAACTGGGAGGAGGCCGTGGTGGGCGTCGCCCTGATCTGGTCCTGGAGAAAGGTGAGGTCATCGACTTCTCGTCCCTCAGCTCTTCGGACCGAACGCCGCTCACCAGCCCGTCTCCATCGCCTTCGCCTGACTTCTCCGCTCCGGGAACGCCCGCCTCCCACTCAGCCACGCCCAGCCTGCTGTCAGAGGCTGACCTCATTCCAGACGCCATGCCGCCGCAGGCGCTGTTCCACGGTGAGTGGGCGTCTGTCTTGTCCACATGTTCTGTTGTTGTAATGTAAGATGATGTCATTTCTTGTCACCATCTACAGATGACGAGGAGATGGAGACGGAAGGGATGATAGACCCCGGCGTAGAATACATCCCTCCTTCCAGCTCCAGCCATGTTGGCCGTAAAAAGCTCTGCTCGGTGCCGCCCCACATCAAACAGGAAGCTGAGAGCGACGATGATGATGGCCATGAGCTCCAAGCCAACGCTGAAGAGGCGGCAGGCCACAGTGAAGTTCCGCCCCCATCTTCTCGCAAGGTGGTTTGTACTGGAGAGGCCGAACGCCAAAGAACGACTCGCCCTGAGAAATCTGACGGTGCCTCCGAAGTCCACCGATGTCCATGCTTCACCTCCCTCAGTCTGTACGAGGAGAGGATGCTGCTGCGGCGGCTGGAAGCCTGCCCGTTAGCGTTAGCCGTCACGCCGCAGGCTAAACGCCTCCACAGGAAGCTGCTGGTCCGCCAGGCCAAGCGCCAGAGAGGCCTCCCCTTGTTGGACATGGACCAAGCTGTCAGTGCCACCCTTAGCCTTGTAGGAGGGATCTATGGTGCTCAGGAGGTGGGGCCACACATTCAGGGCGGAGCTAAAGAAAAGTTTTGCACCAACAGCCGTGAGCAGCGAATTCTGGATCGTTTCCAGGTACGAGATTTACAAAACTGATCTCTGTTTGTTCACTTCCTTCAGTTGGAGCGATAATATTCTTCAGTCTTCTCAAGTCCTTCATCATCGAGTCGTGACTGAATACTGAGTGTGTGTGTATGTTTTTACAGACCAACGTGTCCGTCAGAAAAGGTGTCCAGCAGAACTCGGTCTCCTTCTGGCACCGTCTCATGGGAGCTGAGGGCAGTTTGGACCCGAGCATCAAGAGTCCGTACACGTCCCGGATCCTGAAAGCCTTCATCAGGTCAGTGTCGGGGCCCAAAGTTCTCAATTAGAGAACATAAAGAACCAAATGTTCTGTTTGTTGGAGAACATAAACCTGGGTCAGAACACAGGAACGGTTCCGTATGGACCTCGATGTGAGGATCACGGCTCGGTACGGCCTTGGTTCATCAAGAGTCAGCAGGTTCTGAACCGTCTTTTTGGACCAGCTGAAAGTCTGAAGACCTCCAGAACCAGAACGGAGTCGACAATAAGAACTGAATAAATCAAAGCTCTTACTTTGAGACAACTCTTTGCCACACACCGGGCCGAGTACTGGCTTGTTGCTGCACTTTGAGCTGTCCAGACACCGAAGCTGAGGAGCTGTAACATGGACCGGTCTCCAGTCCATCACAGGGACACCTAGGGACAATTTAAGAGTTGCCAATCAGTCTAACATGCATGTTTTTGGTCTTTTTACTCACCTTTGTCAGGTGATCAAAACATCCGTCTGAGCTAATGGAGACCCTGATGAGCCTCAGGAGCTGCCTTCTCAATAACAGCCGGGCGTTTACATAGCTGCCCACTGCTGCACCTGGGCATACCTCAGGTGTGATGGATTACATGGAGAGAACTAATTTCGTCATTGTCTGGGAACATACAGTGATTACAACACATAGCACTTACTTTTGAGACTACCTGTATAAATAAAGGTTAAATAAATAAATACCGGTGAATGAAATTTAAAAAAAGGAGGGAGGGCAGGGAGTTCACCTGCATGTGAGTTCAGCAGCTTGGAGCTCCGCTCTGCAGGTCTGACCTGACAAACGTTTCCAGCTGCAGAACACAAGTCCGACTGGTGTTTTTCAGCTTTTAGGAAACTAGTTGTTTTTTTGTGCACCTTTTGTAAATGCATTGTTAAGGTTAAGGTTTCTTTATTTGTCATTCGCACCACATGGTAAAACTAAATTGTGTGCACAGGGTCCCAGTTACATCCAGCAAAAGTATATATTGTAAAAAAAAAACAGTAATAAGATCTAAGATATGAACTAAGAAATATGCTAAACTAAGAATACACTAAGCACTAATGGTACAAAAACAATACGGCAAACGACAGCAGCACGAACATGAGTCTGTGTGAGCAGATGAGTACAAATGAACACAGCAGCATGAGCTCAGCAGCAGTTGTACTTTGTACTTGTAGTGTGTACCTCTGTAAGTACTTTGTTGTACTTGTAGTGTGTACCTACACCTCTTGTCTCCCAGCTGCAGCCGTCTGTTGGCTCTGGAACTGTTCATTTTTTCCACACAGCTGCAGGTCTTCAGGCTCCTGCGTGGTCCTGGTGCAGACGGTTCATTTATTGATCCTCACCCATTAAAACAGATCAATTAATCAGCACGGCACAAACAAACATGGCCGACATTTTCTGCCCTGGTTTTAGGTCCGATAACTTTTAACAAATGTTCTTGTCTGGTTCTGTGTCTGGTGTTCTGAGCCCAGTTGGGTCCATCACGTGGTTCCTGTGTGTTCCTCAGGAGGGATTACGAGAGCCGCCCTCTGAAGCTCCGGTTGTTGGCTGAAATCAAAGCGTACCCACACAAGACAGATCCAGACTGGGCTCCTGAACCCGACGCCCCCATCGATTACTGCTACGTCCGTCCCAACCACATCCCCTCGGTCAATGCCATGTGCCACGACACCTTCTGGCCAGGTAAGACTCTGCTCCCCTCCTGTACATGAACATGTCTGAGTGTGTGTCAGACCTCCAGGTGTGTTCCTCCAGGTGTGGACCTGTCCGAGTGCCTGCAGTACCCGGACTTCAGCGTGGTCGTCCTCTACAAGAAGGTGGTGGTCGGCTTCGGCTTCATGGTTCCAGATGTCAAGTACAACGAGGCCTACATCTCCTTCCTGCTGGTCCATCCTGAGTGGAGGCAGGCTGGCATCGGGACCTTCATGATCTATCATCTGATCCAGGTGAGTCCTGCAGAGCCGTCCTGGTCCAGATGTTTGTGTGAAGCCTGACGGCTGCCGTGTTTTTCAGACGTGCATGGGGAAAGACGTGACGCTGCACGTGTCGGCCAGTAACCCCGCCATGCTGCTGTACCAGAAGTTTGGCTTCAAGGCTGAGGAGTACATCCTGGACTTCTATGACAAATATTACCCTGTGGACAGCGCTGAGTGCCGCCACGCCTTCTTCCTGCGACTGAGGCGCTGACGCCAGGTTCATCCAGAACCTTTTTCTGAACGTCTGTTGTGTTTCGAGTATTTTAGAGTTCCAGTTCTCTTCAGGATTTTAGATGTTCAGGAAGCCAAGTTTGGATTAAACCTGACTCCACAGGTAAACCTGTTACATCATTTCCTGTCTAAGAGCTCATCCTGATGTGGGAACATCTGTAAGGTTCTCCTGGACGTCCAGTTGGAGGAAGATGTTTCTAAAATAAATAAATCTGAAGGTTCTAGCTAGGAAACTTTTTTTTTTTCTTACCTGTCTGGACCCGCCTGTCGGGTATGGCTTGTTCTGGCCTGGAGCCTCCTGTATGTATAGAGCGCTGTCCCTCAGGATCTGATCTGGGCCATTTCACAGCACAGTTTGTGATGAGGTCAGGATCACTCACAAGTTGGATGTTTACGTTGCACCTTCCCTTCCTGTTGGTGCACCCCCTCTCTCTTATGGGGTGCCTGTATACACACAAGTGCAATCGATAAGCCCTATAGTATTGGGCACGTTCCCCAAGAATATGAACCTGATCTGATCATGCCTTGATAAACGGGACACGCTGAGGGCCAGGCTGGCCACAGACGGATAGTTTTCACTGCGTCACTCTTAGTTGATGTGTTCGCTCTTATAGTGTCACCAACAACTTGGTAAAAAGAACCAGATGCATGGAAGCGCAGAACGAGGATGAGGGCCAGTTCTTCCACAGATGGACTGACTCCTGGTTCTGGTCTCACAAGGTCTGCACTGAATTTAGTATCAGCTTTCCCAAACCAAGCTCCTGATTGGTGTATTCTTCTAGTGTTTACGCTCATCACACACCCTCTGTATCCACTCCTGCCAAGAAGGTAGTGTCGATTAACTTACCTGCCGTGTCAGCAGCCCTGTGTTAGTCCTCAGAAAGAGATGGCCGTTTGAAGAGCTGATCTTGACCTTGTTCTCTGTCAGTCCTGCCCTTGGCTTGTTTGACCTCTGTGCACCACACCAAACAAAGGAGTCATGGATTCATGAGGATGTCATTTCAGTGGCAGAAAACCCATGCACTGCTGGAAGGTGGAAGGCGTCTTTATGCCTCAATAGTTTGACGTATTTGAGGACCACCCGACAAGAAGAAACAAAACATTTGGGCTGAAATCACGGGATCTGACCAGAAGAGGATCATGCAGAGGCAACAAACCTCAAACAGGCAACAAGCCCTTCAGCAGAGGTGAATACACTGACTTGATTTTTGACATTCTTTGAGGGGAGTGTGGGGTTCAGGGTGTTGCAGAGGACGGCGAGCCCCCAGCTGAAGACTGCTGATGCTGTGGAAGAAGGTGGATCTGCACAAGTTGAGGCAGTAATCACTGCAACAGGAAGTGAAAGAGGCTGAAATGACCTCCACAAACAAACATGAGCATGAAGATGTCTGCAGGGCACTTCTTAAAGGAGTGAAAGAGCAGAGGAAGACCTCAAACTGTTGGTCCTTCCACAGAAGAAGGTTGAACGTGTGTTTATGTTTAAAGCACCTGGAATGTTATTTTAGTTTTTGTGCAGAAGATTCGTTATGGCTGTCTAAAGATGCTGAAATGGGCCGTTTGTATTTTTTCTCTACGTTTCTTCACATAAATCTGCTTTGAGTGGTCCTGCAGCTCTCCTGCTTGTTGGTTCTACGTTCCTCTGCAGCTCTCCTGCTTGTTGGTTCTACGTTCCTCTGCAGCTCTCCTGCTTGTTGGTTCTACGTTCCTCGCAGCCTTGAGTGTTTGATGCGGTCTAATTTGGAGCGCTCGTCATCCGGACTTCGTCATCTTGAAAAGTCGGATCTGGACAAGATCGATCCAATCCAACTTTTCTCTGAACAGCTGGCATAAAATAAATCTGGATTACGTGATCCTGGAAAGCACTGTGATCCAAATTACGTTTTGAACAAGAGGTCCCCAGAGTTCAGGGGGAGGAACCAGATTAATCCAGGATTCTGGATTAGTCGGTCTGTGAAACGGCCTCCTGGTCTCTGTGGGACCAGGACGGTAGCTGCAAAAGAAACAGAACCTCTAAGATGTTCTGTTTTTAATGAAACACATTTTGACTCCCCCCCCCCCCCCCCAAGCATCAACAACCCCCACCTGGGTGAAATTTAATGAGCTTGTTTATTCTGCAGAACAAAAATCACAGAAATGATCCAAAACTGAGTCTGTAAAATAATTGTGATGTCTCTTTTCTTTATAAGTGAATATCAGAAGAAAGTTTGTGCTTCTGTCGATGTTAACAAGCCTAAAACCCAAACCTCAGCTGGAGCCACAACGCTGGAGGTTCTGGATGTCTGAGCTCTGACAGGTCATCTGAAGGTTCCAGGGGAGTGGAGACCAACAGTCATGGACTGTGGGGGATTTAGTGTTTGTTCTGGTCCAGTAGTGGGTTCTACCAGACTGGAATGGGACACAAACTGCTGGATGGTTTCAGAAGAACTTCCCAGCTGGTCCACAGAATTGTTCAGAAGACATCCAGGTTCAGTCGGGGTCTTCCCTGAATGTCCGGTCCGGTCTGAGCCGCCAGAACCGACACCATGTCGCTGCAGCCGGACTTGACCGCCAAGTCGTACGCCATCTGACCAGCAGCGTTCTTCAGTCTCACGCTCGCCTTACACCTGAAACCAGGAAGACGGGTGATGATGTCATGAAGTGGGAGGAGCTATCGAAGCAGGAAATGTTAGATCTGATATTTGAGTAAACGAAGCGTCCAGGTGAGTCGTACCTGAGCAGAAGCGCAGCGCTCTGCAGTCCTTCAGAGCCCAAAGCAGCAGCTTCATGCAGAGCTGTGTTCTTCATCCTGAGAACGAGCAGAACACGTCATAAACAAAACGGAACCTTCACCTGGAACCTGGGCATAGTCAGCATGATAGCAGGTTGCTGATTTGCAAATTGAGCTGGGATTCAAAAAGGGAGCCGGACCCTGAGGATCTGTTTCTTTCAAAGAACCGTTAACTTTTGAACTGTCTGTCACGACTGTCTGTCGTGCAGTGAGCAGTAAATCTAGGTTCTGAGTTGATCCGGTCTGTGCTGAAGTCTTCCAGATATTTTGTATTTTTATAGTTGATGTAAACAAAAGAATGATGTTAGTCACTTTGGGACATGTTGGGTTCTATAAGGACGGGAAACTGAAGCTGACGTTTGGTTCTGTTGTTTCTTGAGGTCAATATTATGCAGTTCTTACGGTCCAGACTGCTGGTCCACATCAGCTCCTCTCTGCACTAAAACAGGAAGTACATCATGATGACCGTTGACCACGGCCACCAGCAGGGCGTGTCTTCCATCCCCCCCACAACAGGATGGGTTCGCCCCCTGGTGAACCAACAGACACACCTGGTCAACCTTAAACTGTCAGGTGACGCAGACCAGGCTGCTGATTGGAAGCTGGAGCCTTTACCTGATCCAGGAGCTGCTGGATGGTCCTGATCCGACCTCTGCTTGGACCCAGCTCTTTCAGCAGCTGACTGTCGGTCACCTGCAGCCAAACAACCAATCAGGAGACAGTTTGTGTTTCTGACAAGCTGCTGGAGGTCCTTACCAAAGGTTTGTCTGTCGAGTTGGGGTTGAGTTTTCTCACACCTGAAACAGATAAAACGTATCGATGAGCAGTTTAGATTAAATGTCGTGATAATTTAAGAAAAACCATCAAACTCCTGAGGAGAAACATAAAAGGCTGCAACAGAAAGAACCCGGCTGAGTCCAGAACTGAGAACCCGGACAAAGCACCACCGTCCAGTTCCAATAAATTACAGCAAATAAAAAATATTTTTACAGAAACTGCAGCACGACGTGTCGCTGTCTGAACCACTGCTTCAGTTTAACTGGACTTTTCTCTGTTTAAAGGAGCGCTTACTTTTTTTTTTTTTTTTTTACAAACTTTACTTCCATTTACATTTACTTCTGTCTATCCAGAACAGATTGGATCCAACAGAAACCCTTCGTGTGACCCGGTTAGGTTCTGTATGTGTTCTTACTGTGGAAGTTGCTGTTTGCAAACCGCTCTGTGACACGACTCAGAGTCTCTGTTGGACTGGCTGGTCCAGGTCCTCCACCATCTAGTCCACCACAGACCCTGTCAGGACCTCCCTGAGACCAAACATCACATTTATTCATTCATCTTATTTACGTGTTGTTTCGGGGCAGGCTCCGGGTTGGAAACAAACCTGTGGTTCTTTCTGTCTGGACAACATGAAGCTGATGGTCAGACTGACTTCATGTGGATCTTCCTGAATCACAGCAGAAACCATCTGAACAGAACCAGAACAACACAGGAGGTCAACATGGACCACACAACACCTGTTCAAGTGATGAAGGCGACCGTGCTCTGACAGGTGCAGCCAACAGACTCTAGAACAGATTTGTCCAGGTACTGCTCAGCTGATGCAGGTGAAGTGTGTACCTGGCCCAGACGGGGTTCTCCAAGCAGAGCCCTGAAAGGAACATTGTTCTGGGTGTAACTTCTCAGATGAGCACACACATGATCCAGCTGCTTCCTCCAAAACCCTGAGGTCAACATCGAGTTAGAACAACAAGCGTAGAACCACAAACATCTGACACCAAGACTCAAGAGAACCACAAACATATGTAGTTACACTAGTAATATAGTAATGAGAGTAGTAGCTACAGTAGTAACGACAGTAATGCAGTAGTTACAGTATTAGAGTAGCAGTTACAGTAGCAGTTACAGTAGTATTTACAGTAACAGAGTAGTAGTTATAGTAACAGATACAGTAGTAGCTACAGTATTAGAGTAGTAATTACAGTAGTAGTTACAGTATTAGAGTAACAGTTACAGTAACAACGTAGTAGTTACAATAACAGAGTAGCAGTTACAGTAGCAGAGCAGTAGTTACAGTATTAGAGTAGTAGTTACAGTAGTAACAGAGTAGTAGTTACAGCAATAGGGTAGTAATTATAGTAACAGTAGTAGTTACAGTAATACAGTAGTAGTTACAGTAATAGAGTATTAGTTACAATAGTAATAGTTTACCTCGTCCTGGGCTGATGGTGGTCAGCGGTGGGCGGTGGTTTGTAGTCGCCAGCAGTCTGCTGACCTTTAACATACTCTGTTGCTCCTTCCTCTGCAGCTCAATGGCTGATGGGTAATAGAGTCCTACAGTTTGCGTAGACTGTGTGATAGTGGGCGGGGTCACATTTGTACTGGGCAGAGTCTTTGAGAAAGGTGCTGCCTGCCTCGTGGCATTATGGGAATACTCTGTCGTAGCCTGTGCACACAAAGTAGTCACTGTAGGTAACTTGACAGGAAGTATAACATGCCATGATGTCAGCCGTGCTGTGTACCCCACTAGCGGCGTCACATGTGATAGGCTGGATGCTGTTACTGGAGGAAGTGGGCGGGGCTGGCCCTTCAAGGAAGACGCCACAGGCAGCACAGTACAAAGCGTATGGATGTCCACTCGCTCCACATCGCCAACACTCTACACAGCTGACTGAACGTGTGAGCTGAAAGTACACGTCACATTACTACGTTTCCCACAATGCTGTCTTCCACACCCAAGCTAAGCAGAGCACCTGGAAGCAGGAGGAGCAGAAACAGAACGATGAAAGGCAGACATTACTCATGATTCTGCTGTGCTTTCACCTTGGAGCTGCACCAGTCACAGAATCTGGCGTTGCTGCGATTCAGACGTTTACACCTGGAGCAGGTAAACATCCTGCTGTGTGTGGCGTGGACAGAGGGAGCACTGTTCCCACTACATCCCACCTGCAGCAACAACAGGTCTCAATGAGACAAACAGCTGCAGGAGAACCATTAAAACAACATGTTCAGCTGCAGATGTACCTGCTGCAGGTGACCGTCGCAGGTCAAACACCTGGAGGTGTGAGCTGGATTCCCACTTCCACAGGAAACGCAAACCAGATGATCCTGTACAACATCAGACATCTTAATTTCACAGTTCTCATAATCTGCCTTACCTGTGGGAGAAAACACCTGGGACCTCATGTATGGAAGAGTGCACAGCTTTCATCCTGAAAGATGATGCACGGATAGAATTTAAAAAATACCAACAAAAATAGTAGCGGGCTGCCTTCAGGCCCAGGGAGACTTTGAAAAAGTGATTCATGGTCTCAGTGGGTTTTACCTGGTTACATAAAGGTCAATGAATTAATGAGGCCCTGATGTAGGAGTAGGTGTTGAGTACCTTTAGAGTAAGGTGGGCCTGGGGCTGCGTCTGTGGACCAATGGACGCCTCGCAGATCAAACAGGTCCTCGTATTGATGGGGACCAGAGATTTACAGGTGACACACAGCCGCATCTGACAAGAGAAAACCTTTAGCAGCTCCTCACCTGGACTCACCTGGACTGTGATCAAGTGTGTGTAACACCTGTGCGCCCTCGGCAGGGGGAAGCCACTGACCACAGAGGAAAAGAGGAGCCACAGCTCCACATTGTGCACAGAACCGGGCAAATGGGTCTGATGGAAGAAAGCTGAGACAGCAAGCGCACCTAGATGAAGAAAGGAGGAGGAGCTTGTAAAGTCGTGAGTGTTCAGGTTTCAATGTGTTTCTGAAGAATTTTCCTGACAGTGGGCGTGTCTGACTGTAGGTGTGTCTTTAACAGTGGGTGTGTCTTTGACAGTAGGTAGGCGTGTCTCTGCCAGTGGGTGTGTCTTTAACAGCAGGTGTGTCTTTGATAGTGGGCGTGTCTATAACAGTGGGTGTGTCCCTTGTAATGGCATCACAACGGCTCAGTGGTTAGCACTGTTGCCTCACAGCAAGAAGGTCCTGGGTTCAATCCCTGGGTGGACCTGGGGTCTTTCTGTGTGGAGTTTGCATGTTCTTCTCGTGCTTGCGTGAGTTTTCTCCGGGTGCTTCAGTTTCCTCCCACAGACCAAAAATATGCATGTTAGGTTGCCTTCAGGCCCAGGCCTCCCTTGCAAAAGAGATCTGTGATCTCAATGGGATTTGCCTGGTTAAATAAAGGTTAATAGATAAGAAATGGGTGCGGTCATCTGTGGGCGTGTCTCTGACTAGTTTACCGCAGGAAGTCAGTTTCTCGCTGCACTTGGCGTTCCTGCGTACTGCTCAGCTTCTTCACATCCCGTGAGTCCTGACAGACAAGAAGCAAATCATTATCACTGCTCCCAGCATTTTACAAAATCTGCACTCAGATCAGTTTGTTTTGGTGTTTACCACAGACTGGGATCGCCGGGACGAACTGGTCCAGGCAGCACGGACAGTCTCTGACCCCAGCCGACTGTTTAGGAAGCGAGGACCTGATGATGGAGGAGGGCTTCTGTCCATCATCCTCCGTTCTGAGAGAAGTCAGGACAAGAAGTGATGAGAAGCAGTGGGGGGTGGGGCTCTCTCTGTGTCGCTGTCAGCCAGGCCAGCCTCGTCTGCAGACGGTCCGCAACACTGCAGCTCGTCTCCATTGCTGCGTCTCATCATCAGCTCCACGTTGATCTGCAAGGCCCTGAATGGACAGACTCCTGTAGACCTGTCAGACCTCACGCAGCCCCATGTGTCCTCTAAATCCCTCAGATCCAAAGATCATTAGGTTTTAGTGGTCTTGAGGTCCGGTCAGGTCCACAGAGGGGATCAGGTCTTCAGCTGTCCTGAGGTCCAGACATTTGTACTCTCTGGATGTTAATACAGCATGAGAGTTTACTTTTATTTATTTATTCACTGCCTCTTATTGGTTCTATTTAATGTTTTTGTATTCTTCAATGTTTTACGGTTTCCTGATTTTGTATTTGTGCAACACGTTTGTTGTTAAACATGAATAAATGTGCTTTGATTTTGAAAACATTATTTCTGCTCAGGTTCTGGACCGAACGTCCACCGCCGTCCTCTCAGTCTTGTTTGTTGAGGCTGACGAGCTGCAGCTTGAAACAGACCAGGACCCCCAGACCCCCCCCCCCACCACCACCACCACCACCACCACCACCACCACCAACACAGTCTGTTCTGTAATGTTCTTTATACAGAATGGAAGGTTAAATAACTGTATAATAAATAAATGGACTTTACTTAAAGAAGTATTTGCATTTCATGTATTATTGCATTTGGCACGCAGCCCTCTGATAGATTTTAAATTTGGCCCTTTCAGGGAAAAGGTTTGGGGCCCCCTGCTCTAGATCTTCTGCTGGAACTGAATGATTTTGTTTTATTTCTTTGCTCTGAATGAGACGTCTCATCCTGAGTGTAAGCTGAAAGTCATGTCGGACATCTTTGTTTCACTTTAAAAATATATATTTTTCTTAAACGGCTTTTCAAGCTTTGAAGAGAAGAAAATTAGATATTTCATGTTATGATGTCTGAGTGCATTTCTGTGCAGGTAAATGCAGGTTGCCACGGTAACAGAGTGAAGGGGGTGCGGTTTAACTGCAGATGTGTACAAGTGAACTCAGTGCAAGTACCTGCAGAACTCAGTGAAGGCCCAGCTGCATTGTCAGCAGAACTGAAAGTTCCAACAGACGTATCCTGAAATAACAGGTGGAAGAATGAAGGACACATTAGAGTGGACAGGTGAGTGCAGGAAGAGGCGGGGCTTATGGAAACTGGAGCAGTAGGTATGTTTGATTACCTGCCTTAGGTTCTCCAAAACATCTTCCTGGTTCTCCGCTGTGCTGCTGGAGTCCAGCTGGTCCACATAGAAGACCTTGCTCACAATGGAGCTCTGTCTGCCGTCACTGCATCACATTCATACTCAGACAGGAAAACAGGAAGTGATGTCCTTGATCGATGTCAGGTGAGCACTTACATGGTGACCGCCACCGCTCTGATGGACACCTGCCCTGCAGGCAACAGGATGGGCTTGGTGTACTTCCTGCTGCCACCTGCTGAGCCCCGTGGTCCCACCTCCGGCCTCGAGCCATCCAATGTGAAGAAGAGCAGCGCACCTGCGGAGTCTGAACACACACACATGTGTTTCTATGACAGTCTTCTTCTAAAACTTCTCTTATAATTAAAGGACTTTAACAAAAACTGAAATAACCTTCAGAACAGGACCAGTTTGAGCTGGGACCAGTTCCACACCTTGTTGAACACCAGTCTGAAACCAGAGTGAAACCAGTCTAATAGCAATCTGAGCATCGTTGAACACTAGTCTGAAATCAAACTAAACAACTGGACTTCTGTGGTTGAAGACGTTTATTTTACCATCCTGGGAGTTTAAACCTTAAAAGTGAGATTCTACCAGAAGGTTCTGATCCGTGTGAATTGGAACTGTCCATGTCCACCAAACAGTGTAAAGAACAGGACCAGTTTGAGCTGTGACCAGCTCTACACCCTGCTGGATCTCGCTCTTCCACCTCTTACTTCAAGTATGATGACAGTTTTTGAGCTGTGGGATCTCCGGAGTCACAGACTGCGTCCAACCTCTATGAAAGTGGAGCAGAGAGCCCTGGACTCCTTCAAGGGAACAACACTGAGCCACTGGTTCTGATACGTGGACCATAGTAGAAGCTTCAGCAGACACATCAACTCTGTGGACAACAACATCAAGTTCACCAGAGAAGACACCACCAACAAGCTGCCTTTCTAGACTGTTTGGACAGAAAACAGAACCGCACCAAAGAAGTTCTCCAAACCTGTGGACCCAACTAAGACACCTAACTGGATTTTTGACAACGAGGAAATGAAAAAAAAAAACACGCCACAGAACAGGGAGAAGAACAAACATCATCACACATGTTGCTGGAGGATCTGAGAAACTCTGATCGTCTCCAAACACAACATCCCGGTTCATTTTAGACCCAACAGAACCCTCAGACAGAGGCTGGTCCATCCTGAGGACAGAACCCCCAAACCCAGACTGAGCGGTGTGGTGTTTGCTGGAATGTTCAGACCTTCATGTTGGAGAAACTAAAGAACCTCCGCAGACGCATGGCTCAACACCGAAGAGATTCAGAGATCCACCTGCACCTCAGGGACAAGTGACCCTCTGCTGAGGACCAACAGGTCCAGATGTTGGACAAAGAGGACAGATGGTGGTCTGAGAGGGGGTTGAAGGAGAGACAAACAGAGGAGGAGGTCTCAGAGTTCAGTTTTCTGATCCCAGGTCAGTTTGACTCTGATTCTCACCTTAATCAGGTGATACAAACACCTGTCTGTGAGTCTGGCTAACAGAGACCCTGATAATCCTCAGGAGGGAGGGGAGGGAGTAACCTGCATGTGAGTTCAGCAGCTTATTTTCCTGCAGACACCTGTGTGACACTGCGAGAAAATCCCTCAGTCCACTGGGCTTCCACAAGGTTCCAGACTGGTTCTGGTTGAGTTCTGGTCCTACATCCAAACATCCTGTATCACATATTTAAATATTCATCCATGTGCTGACGATACAGTTCTGTTCCCCTCAGAAGCTACAAGTTACATCCATCTGGACCAAAACTCTATGATCTGTGAAGCACGAGGACAAGATGGAGAACAGGTAGAGGACAGATGGAGGACAAATGAAGGACAGATGAAGGACAGGTGGAGGACAGATGGAAGATAGATGGAGAAGAGATGGGGGACAAGTAGGGACAGATGGAGGAAAAGTGGGGAATAGATGGAGGACAGACAGAGGAGAGGTGATGGACAGATGAAGGACAGGTGGAGGACAGATGGTGGACAGAATGGAAGAGAGGTAGAGGACAGACAGAAGATAGATGGAGAGCAGGTGGGGGACAGGTGGAGAACAGGTGGAGGACAAGTGGGGGACACATGGAGGATAGATGTAGAACAGGTTGATGACAGATGGAGGAGAGGTGGAGGACAGATGGAAGAGAGGTTGATGACAGATGGAGGAGAGGTGGAGGACAGATGAAAGGTAGATGAGGACAGGTGGGGAACAAGTGGAGGACATATGGAGGAGAGGTGGAGGTCAGATGGAGGACAGGACAGGTGGGGGACAGGTGTGTTTGTACCTGACTGGATGGAGACAGGTGTTCTGGTGTCAATGTGGTTCTTGACTCGGTGTGTCGGAAGCTGGATGATGGGGATGATGAGAGGAGCGGAAACTGCTCCTGCTGCCATGGCAACAACTGTCAATCAATAAATCAGAAGCCTGAAAAATAAATAAATGTTTTTACTGGGTCTTTTTTAAGAACAATTAAAGTTACTAACGATTAAAGTCGGAGACAGCGCCCCCTGCTGCTCAGCTCTCTCTACTGTTACCTGCCGCCGGGGGGCCCGGGACCTTCTTCTGACAGTTGTTGTTGTTTTCGTTGTTGTGTCAGCAGTAAACAAACTGCTCCAGTCTCCACAGCCTTCTTTAGGAGCTTTGCGATGAGACCGGGACACGCCGTGCCAAAAACAAACAGCGCACACTCACTTTACCGCCCGCCGCCTGAAAAGAAGCTGGTGAGTTTGATCAAGTATTACCATGGCAACGCGTTTAGACCGGAAGCTCTTGCTTAAACACAATAACAAAGAGCTACCTCTGGTGGGCGGGGCTTACAGGAAACCGCTTTATTTTTTTATTTATTTTTTGCATATCTCCCGCCGCACCGGGAAGCACCGTCCGGACATTATATGTTCACTGCTAAAAAACGAGATTAGTTGGAATCGAACCTCCGACTCTCTCGTATTAAATACATGATAAAATCTTCTTCCTGTTTTTCCCTAGGGGTCGCCAGCGATTCCTCCTTCTCACTCTGTCCTCTGCATCCTCTGTCCTCACTCCTGCATCCATATATATCTCTCCTGTTTGTCTTTTTCCTGGCAGCTGCATATCTATCCTTCTACCAGTACTCCTTTGGACATGTCCAAACCACTCATCTGGACATGTCTAAACCGTCTGTCCTCTCTACTCCCAGTCCTTCAGTTGAGTGTACCTCTGATCTTATTCCTTCAACATAAAATAAATGTCAATCAATCATACAACTTTATTGTCCATAACATTCCATGAGATTATTGACATCTGGCTCATACAACACAAATATGAAATAATTGTGTTCCTCCTTTTTATGAAAATAACGAAAACGTGTTTTTATAAATTTTATCTAAGTATAACCAGCAATCCAACAAAGTTCAGTCAGGTCATCTGGACGGTTTCTTTTTTTTTTGAGACAGTTCGTCCTTAATCCAAAGGACTTCTTCAGTCTGAGGAGCCACAACAAACTGAGTCCCACAATCAGCAAACCCATAGAGGACCAACCAGTTTGCTGGTGATAAGCTGGTATCTGGGTTTCTAATTCCTCGGACTGATTAAGTCCTTTGGATGAAGAACATCTCAACAACAACAACAAAAGAAACAGTCCAGATGACCTTACTGAACTTTGTGGGATTTTCTACCTGGATTATTGAGCATGAACTTTGATATAACCAGCAATGTGGTCTACACAGGTCTCTCTTGTAAATGAGTTCTCGTGTCTCAATGAGACTAAATAAACGCTGAATGAATATTTTTTTTTTTAAATTCTACTTAATTAAAGGAATCACACAAAAAATACAAATAAAAAAATCCCCATTTGTAAAAAACAAAACTGTGGAAGCCCGTTTCTGCCAATGAAAAGAAATAAAACGTCCAATGGTATGTCTTCCATTATTTGGAAGGCTTCCATACAAAACTCAACAAGGGCTCTCACCCGTGAATTAGATTAACAAAGACCTTAACAAACCCTACTGTGAGGTGTGATATGTCAATCTGCACATGTGTATCTTATCTCAGCTTTATAACCGGAACCCCACATGCTCTGCTCTTTGAATTGAGAAAGCTTCTTGGATGAGAAGCAAAATGACTTCTGTTACAAATAAAGTCCAGTTGTTTTTGTCTTGAACGCTTTTGAATTTACCATGTCCTGGATGACTGAGAATCTTCACCAGCATACAACGAGGGGCGTTTCACTGTGTTTTAGACCAGGCAGTGGACAGCCCAGAGCAAGCTTTGCTAAAGAGACGAGAAAACGGACGAGAATCGGGGTTCTCTTCCGCCATTTTGTAAAGAGCTACGCGAAGCAACGTGGGCGTTCTTAGATGCTGGTAGCAAACTGTAAATATCGGAGTAAAAAATGTTTTATTTAAGGTCTTCTCAACTTGGAGGCCACAAACCTCGCTGAGATCCGTCAGGGTCCATTCTGGTGTTTCTCTGGGTCGATGCCGTTAATTGCAGTTCATTTTTGACCAGGCACGAGTTAGGACTGCTGTCAGAGAAGTTAAGGACCTAAACCCCGGGTTTGCATCTGTTAAAGCTCCAGAGATACCAGCCAGACGGATTTTCTGCTTGGAAAGAGCAGCAGAATTCAGTCAAAATGACGGAGGTCAAAGTGAAGAAAGAGATGAACGTGACAGACGTCGCAGAGATCGAGAACAGGTCAGAATCGTGATGTTCTCCTGCTCATAGAATCGATACTCCGAACTCCGTGTCCTTTCAGTTCAATTTAATAAGTGATCAGATACAATTAGACATTTACCGGTCAGAAGTCCACTTTAAACACATTTTCTGAATCAAGGTAGTATCTCTGGCAATTCGGCGTTATCTTGGATTGATCAGATTTCCTAGATTTGGCCTCAAACGGACCACTTTTCTGCACTGTTGTGCTTCTAGTCTTAAAACAACATTCATTCAACCTTTAGGCAGGTAAATCCCAATGAGCCTCGAGGACCCATTTACAAAAGAGAACTGATTTCAACAAAGAATGATGACAAAAATGGACAACAGCGACAACAATAGACAGCCACAAAAAAGGCATACAGATTTATTTATTTTTTAACAAATAAGATGGCAAAAAAAAGTAACAAAAAAACAGCTAAATTATAAGGCAAATGTAGAAAACTAAAACCAGGAACATGTCTGTCATTCCAACATGGAATGTTTTCTAAGATCCTGAGATGTTCATATAATTTGTGGGAGATATCTAACAACAATCCGGTTTATAATTCGTTAGCCATCCGTTTATCCATCCATCTATCTATCTCCATCATCTTCTGCTCCCTCATCATCATATCGGACCAGCACAGAGTCCACTGCAGACGCACAAATCCGTCTATCAATCTCACGCTCCATTCTTCCCTCACTCGTGAATAAAACCCCAAGATACTTGAACTCCTCCCTCCTCCACTTGAGGCAGAACCTCATCCTTTACTCGAAGAGAGCAAACTCATGTGCTGAGGTGCTCAGGTGTCGAACCGCATCGGAGTCGCTTCACACATGGCTGCGAACCGCCAAACTCTCGCACCGCTTATATGGGGCCAAACAGCCTGTAACGATGGCCCCCCAGTCTCGTACTCGCGGCGTATCCCCCATAGTTTACCCTGAGGAACACAGTCCAAATCTTTCTCCATGTCCACAAAATACATGTAGACTGGATGGGAAGACTCCCATGACCCCTCGAGAGCTGGTCCAGTGTTCCACAGCCAGAACGGAACTTGCATTGTTCCTCCTGGATCTGGGGTTCAACTAACGATAAGACTTGTTTCTCCAGTACCCCTGAATAGTTCTTACTGGGGAGGCTAAGGAGAGTGATACCCCAATAATTGTAACACACCCTCCTGTCCCCCTTTTTGAAGAGGGGAACCACCACCACCCCAGTCTGCCAATCTAGTGGCTCTGCCCCTGATGTCCACGCAATGTTGCAAAGGCGTGTCAACCAAGACAGCCCCACAACATCCAGGTGAGTTGAAGATCTTTCTGATGGGTTCTTCTGCCAGGCGTTTCCAGCAAACCCTCAATACACGTTTGGGTTTACTGGGTCTGTCCAGCTTCTTCCCTCACCATCTGATCCAACTCACTACCAGGTAATCAGTTGACGGCTCAGCTCCTGTCTTCACCCAAGTGTCCAAAACAAACGGTCACAAATCAGATGACACAACTACAACATCAATCACTGATCTATGACCTAGGGTGTCTTGGTGCCAGTTGCACGTATCATGGGCAACTCCAGAGTGGAATAAGGTCCAGCCTCTCTGAAGGTGATTGGTTCGAGGTGAACCCAACTATATCTAGTTGGTAACTCAACTTAACACACAAGCTCAGGCTTTTTCCCCTCCAGAGAGTTCTATGTCCCGAGAGCCAGCTTTGGTAAGCCAGGATCAGAGCGCAAAGGTCTTTGGCCACTGCCCATGGCGTCATGCGCCCGACTCGTATGGCCCCTCCTGTAGGTGGTGTGCCCACAGGAAGGCATACCATTGTTTCTCATTCGGGCTGAGCCCGACCGGGCCCCATGGTAGAGACCCAGTCACCATGCACTCACCGACAAGCCCCTTGCCAGGGTGGAGCCCCAGTAACCCACTTCCCGCAAGGGACACCGAGTTCCTTGTTTTTCTTTGTCTATAAGTGTTTTGAATTGATCTTTGTCCTGTTACCTAAGACCAATCTGCCTTGGGAGACTCTACCAGGGCAATTACAATTGCCCCAGACAGTAAACTCCCAGGATCATTCAGGTGCACAAACTCGTCGTCCACAATAAGGTGACGATTCAAGGAGGAGAATTAGGTGTTTTGCATAAAAACTTTGAATTTATAAAAACCAACAGAAATAATAAAACACATTTCTACCTGTGGGAAAATATCCCGCGGGGGGTGGAGGATGGGAATGACAACATCTTTGGTTAAACAAAAATTACCAAAAAAAAAAGAAAAGAAAAGATAAAACTATTATTTTGTGTTTGTGTGTATTTGTGTTCCAGGATCAAAGAGCTGTGTCAGCAGTTCCCTCAGGGTATCACAGACCAGGTGATCCAGAATGACTTGCCTCACCTGGAGCCTCAGCAGAGAGCCATGGCAATCAACAAGCTGCTGTCGCAGGTCGGTCAGAGGACTTGATCTAACTCAGTCTGAGGATCCGATCCACCCCAGTCCGAGGACCTAATCTGCCCCAGTCTGAGGGCCTGGTCCACCTCAGTCTGAGGACCTGATCCTTCTCAGTCTGAGAGGACCCGGTTCGTAAGTTTGACCCTCTGATCTGTTGTTGATTGATGATGTTGTGTTCCAGGGTCAGCTGGATCTGCTGAGGAACAACTCAGGTCTCTTGTATAGACTGAAAGACACTCAAAGTGCTAGGTAAACATGCATTTGAACAAGTACTCAAACATACACGTTCTTGTAAACGTACTTTTTGGGGTCTTTGCATTGACGTTTTTTATAGCCTAACCCTGACCCTTTCCCTAAACCTAACCATTACTAGTACATGCCTAGTACTAGTAATGGTATACTAGTACTAGGCAACTACTAGTAAACCTAACCCCCAACTCCCCAACAAGACTGCTCCTTATGGGGACCTGGCTTTGGTCCCCACAAGGAGCAGTTGGTCCCCACAATGTAGGATTTGTGTAAAATTTGTCCCCACAATGTAACCTGAAACAAAAACGCCAACTAGAACTTGCACTGATACACATACTCAAACTAACACTAGCTATGTTTACATGCGCAATGTGTTTTTGACCGGATTGAAATGTTTTCAGATTAAATAATTCAAACGTATCGTTTACATGGGCACAATCTGTTCATGACGAGTGTTTACATGCAGCGGGCTTTGTTCTGAACAGAAGTACTGACATGCACAGAGTGGTAAACTCTCCTTAAAAAAATCACAAAAGAAGAGGTTCTACTTCCGGTTGACTTCCGGGATGAACGTAAACAAACCTGAGCACCCAAAATGGACCCGTGACAGGTTTTAATGATGGTGGAGACGTTATTGCACTCCCTGACTGAGCTACAGGTGATACAGATCATTTTGAGCTCTTTCAAAGTTTCTAGTAGAAATGTTGTGTCGCTCACCGACCAGTTTTGCTTCCCTGACATGCTAATATTATTAGCGTTAGCCAGGCGGAAATGACAGTCGCACATGCGCAGTCATGTCAGTTTTACACGATCAGAAAAAATGAACAGATCAAGTGTTTACATGCGCACCGTTCGTGTTATGAATCGGCGTAAACCACCCGTTTCGTTCTGATCACAAATTATAAACAAAAAATAAACTGAACGGGGTGTTTACATGACGCGTTTTTATTCCGAACGGCCGTTTGAGCCCATTACTTATGTCCATGTAAACATAGCTATTGAAACGTAAACTGGAATACACGCGGAAACACACTGGAATGCATACCATGCCACTTTAAATCACTTAAAAACATCAGCAATGCCAACCAAAGTGATGAAAATGACAATGACACAACAAGCAAAGGACACCTGATAAAATACATAAAATCCACTAGGGCTGCAACTATCGATTATTTCAATAATCGATTCATCGGCCGATTATTTTTTTGATTAATCGACGAATCGGCAAAAAAACCCACAACATTTTAATTTTCACCCCTTTATTCCAAAATTGAACATTTGACTGACATAGCAATTCACACAAAAAACAGGTTGCTATTTGACTATTCTGTTAGTAAAATATTGAATAAAAAAAGTAAAAGTTAGTGAAATAGTTTAAAAAACAAATGTACACAAAAATATATACAAATGTATCTTTATACCTGCACAATATGTAGCTACTTTGTAAAATTTGTCATTGAGAGAAGAGTGTAACCTGGATTAAATGTGTGGATTATTGTAACCTGGATTAAAAGTGTGGTTCATTGTAGTGAAGCCTTCTTCTTCAACCATTGACAGAGGCCTCATGTCAGTGACGATCATTTAAGGATGATTTCAGTGAAGACAGCTGCTGCTGTGGTGTCCATGATGTCTGTCCATCATGAATGCTGTTGTTGTTTGTTGTTGTTGTTTTGTGGAATGAGAGAGTAAATATGTATTATATCATAATTTACAGCAACTCAAGAAATGCCTTGTTTCACTTACAGTGTTAGGTTCAGGCAAAAGTAGCTTAAAGAGCATTTAAACACACACACACACACACACACACACACACACACACACACACAAACACATATATAAAATACTTAATTACACACATTTGAGTAGATGTAATAAATTACTTTAATTCCTGTTTAAATGCAATTCATCCTGCCATACCTGCAGTGTCTTCAGACTTTGCCAGCAAATTAAAAGTTGAAGCTTAATCATTAAATTATTATCTTTGTGTTCGATTTATTTATAAATCACATTTAAACACTGCTTGTACCAATTAAATTAAATAAAAAGTAACACACGTGTTCTCTATCACCGTCATTAATCAGAAAACAAACAAACAAACAGCTTCATCTACCAGACAGACTGACGTTACGTTTTCTCTCTTGGAAACAGAACAAATGTGTTAAATTGTAGAGACTCACCTGCAACACATGACGAGTTGTATCAGCTGCAGCTCCTTCCTCCTCCTCGTGACTCCGACATGTTTACGTTTATCAGCGTGGTTCTCCTGTGTCGTGTCGGCGATTTTCAAAGCGGCATGTTTCTCAGTTTTTATCTTTGTGAAGTTCTCCCACTCTTTGAAGGACTTGGGTCGAACAGTTTTCTCTGCGTCGGTCATTTGTAAAATTTACTTATTTTCCTTTGAAAACAGACTCTGCTTTTCTCCCCACTCGCTCTGTTCAACTTGCGCTGCAGAGTTTTGTTTTTTTTCCAAACTTTATTCAGTCTGTCAGCATCGACAATGAACTGCCTGTAAACAAAACGAAATGACTCCGCAGCGCCGTGAAAGACACATAATCGCGCGACACAACAAATCGATAATGAAATTCGTTGCCAACGCTTTTAATCATCGATTTTTATCGATTTTATCGATTTGTTGTTGCAGCCCTAATAATAATACCCACAATAATAATAATCCATCCATCCAGCCATTATCTTTTATCCGCTTCTTCCATTTTGGGTCATGGGGGTCGCCGGTGCCCATGGCCAGCAATCACTGTGCGAGGGGCGGGGGACAACCTGGACGGGTCACCAGTCCATCACAGGGCCACATAGAGACAAACGAGATGAACAACCATTCAGTCTCTTACTCTCACCTAGTGACAATTTAGAGTTAACAATCAGCCTAACATGCATGTTAGAGAAAACCCACGCATGCACGGAGAGAACATGCAAACTCCACCCAGAAAGGCACCCAGACACGGAATTGAACCAGGGTAACCTGCTCGATGAGAGGCAGCAGCTCTACCAGTTGCGCCACCATGCTGCCTAATAATAATAATAATATTATGGTTATAATAATAACCATATATAATTTTATTATTATTATTATTATTATTATTATTATTATTATTATTATGGGTAGTAATAGTAGAATTAATATTATTTAATGATAAAAAACATTACTCTGTATTTATGAAATCATCAATGTTGTCATATCTAAACTTTTAATTCAACTTTAAACTTTTAATTTGCTACTTCATTGTTAAGAATTCAGAAAAATAAAATACTTTTGCTAAAAATTAAGCAATAAAATAGTTCTTCAACCTTAACGGATTAAAAAAAATAAATCATTCAACTCTGCATTTCTGTGACATTTTTGTAGAAAATGTTTCTTTTTGATCTTTCCTGAGAGCTTTGTTGCTAGGTAACATGAAACAGGCCAAATGTTCCATGTTGACATCTGTAGTGTTCATCTGTGGGCGGAGCTTAAGTCAGTCCTTTGATGATGTGTCATGATGATGTCATAGAACAAATGTTATATATACAGGCTGGACTTTGAGTTCTAGACATCTCTGTTGGAAAAGCAGAGTGAACGCATCTTGACATTATTGTTCTTACGGCGCATAAACGGTTCGTTTTATCTTATTGAAGAAAAGCGTTTAATCGTAGCAACAAAAAGAACAATGTCTTCCCACAACCCAAGAGGAGATCGTGTATTTATCAACTCCCGTTTTAAACGGAGGGTTGACCACACGCAGTCTGCTGAATCAACTGTAAATGTTGATAATTCAGAAGAAGCCATGTCTGCGTTGATGGATCCCAACAATTTTCCAGCTCTGCCAGGAAGCGAGCCTGCAACTTTAGAGGCAAGCAGCTCGGTCGACATTACCCAACATCAGTCGACACAACCTAGAGAAAGGAAAATCAGCCGGAAAGTACATTTCGGTGTTGAAATGTCACTTTTTCCTAACGGCGTAGAGCGGACTAGACACGTCAAAAAGTTTGATGGTGAAAAGTTTAAAAGATTTTCACCCATCCAGCCCAATACGGAATTTGACGCAAGCCAGAAACACGCGCCAATTATGAAAAGTAAATCCACTTTTCAGTCTATGGCCAAGCTTGATCTTTCTAAAGAACGTGTCATTAAGAAAAAGCTTCCTACCCAGTTTCCTGCTAATGCAAACAAATTAGTTGCAGGATATAGCTTCGCTGATGCTCTGGCTTTAAAGTCCCAACCTGCCAAGACTTCTGAAACGTCAGCTTCAGTTCAGAATGTGTCTGCAGAGAGCAGCAGCGCTGCTGGCCCATCTCAAAGGCCACTGGCTTCTCTGAGTTTAGTCCCACGATCTTCCACAGAACAAAAAAATTCAGTTGAGAAGATTCTGGCAAGAACTTCAGAAAAAGCTGCAGAAAATACTGCAGGATGTCAGGAAGAGTCTACTAGGAGTGTGCTCTTTGCATCTGAAGTGTTTGAAATTCTAATTGAAAAAGACAAACAGTTTTCTGCATTGCAAAGCCAGAATGAAGAACTCCACAAACAATTAAAATTTCTCCAAGAAAAAGTTCAAGGAATGGAGGCAATGCATTCTGGAGCTCAGGAGAAATTTTTACAGTGTGAGTCTAAATTAACTGGGGAAAAAACAAAAAGACAGGAAGCTGAAGATGCTCGTACAAAGCTGTTGGAAGGGAACGAGCAGCTCAAAGCTGAAATGCTTCAAAAAGATGTCCAACTGGAAAAAGACGCCCAGTACCACTCTGTGGAAATGGACAAGCTGAAAACTGAGGCATTAACTCTGAAACAGCATCTTGACTCTTTCAAAGCCAACAACAAAAATGTCCTGGCTGATAAACAAGCAATGCTGAACAAGAGTGCAGAATATTCGACAGCTGTGAAAAGAAGCTTTGACCTAGAAGCAGCTCTTACTGCTGAGAAAAGTAAGGCAGCACAGGCCCAAGTTCTCTTGACACAGCAGAC